ACCCATTCTGTTAAGACAGCTCTAACAGCTGAGACCCATTCTGTAACACACTAAGACAGCTCTAACAGCTGAGACCCATTCTGTAACACACTAAGACAGTTCTAACAGCTGAGACCCATTCTGTAACACACTAAGACAGTTCTAACAGCTGAGACCCATTCTGTAACACACTAAGACAGCTCTAACAGCTGAGACCCATTCTGTTAAGATAGCTCTAACAGCTGAGACCCATTCTGTTAAGACAGCTCTAACAGCTGAGACCCATTATGTAGCACACTAAGACAGCTCTAACAGCTGAGACCAATTCTGTTAAGACAGCTCTAACAGCTGAGACCCATTCTGTTAAGACAGCTCTAACAGCTGAGACCCATTCTGTTAAGACAGCTCTAACAGCTGAGACCCATTCTGTAACCTACTAAGACAGCTCTAACAGCTGAGACCCATTCTGTTAAGACAGCTCTAACAGCTGAGACCCATTCTGTAACACACTAAGACAGCTCTAACAGCTGAGACCCATTCTGTAACCTACTAAGACAACTCTAACAGCTGAGACCCATTCTGTTAAGACAGCTCTAACAGCTGAGACCCATTCTGTAACACACTAAGACAGCTCTAACAGCTGAGACCCATTCTGTAACACACTAAGACAGCTCTAACAGCTGAGACCCATTCTGTAACAAACTAAGACAGCTCTAACAGCTGAGACCCATTCTGTAACACACTAAGACAGCTCTAACAGCTGAGACCCATTCTGTTAAGACAGCTCTAACAGCTGAGACCAATTTTGTTAAGACAGCTCTAACAGCTGAGACCCATTCTGTAACACACTAAGACAGCTCTAACAGCTGAGACCCATTCTGTTAAGACAGCTCTAACAGCTGAGACCAATTTTGTTAAGACAGCTCTAACAGCTGAGACCCATTCTGTAACACACTAAGACAGCTCTAACAGCTGAGACCCATTCTGTAACACACTAAGACAGCTCTAACAGCTGAGACCCATTCTGTTAAGACAGCTCTAACAGCTGAGACCCATTTTGTAACACACTAAGACAGCTCTAACAGCTGAGACCCATTCTGTTAAGACAGCTCTAACAGCTGAGACCAATTTTGTTAAGACAGCTCTAACAGCTGAGACCCATTCTGTAACACACTAAGACAGCTCTAACAGCTGAGACCCATTCTGTTAAGACAGCTCTAACAGCTGAGACCCATTCTGTAACACACTAAGACAGCTCTAACAGCTGAGACCCATTCTGTAACACACTAAGACAGTTCTAACAGCTGAGACCCATTCTGTAACACACTAAGACAGTTCTAACAGCTGAGACCCATTCTGTAACACACTAAGACAGCTCTAACAGCTGAGACCCATTCTGTTAAGATAGCTCTAACAGCTGAGACCCATTCTGTTAAGACAGCTCTAACAGCTGAGACCCATTCCGTAACACACTAAGACAGCTCTAACAGCTGAGACCCATTCTGTAACACACTAAGACAGCTCTAACAGCTGAGACCCATTCTGTAACACACTAAGACAGCTCTAACAGCTGAGACCCATTCTGTAACACACTAAGACAGCTCTAACAGCTGAGACCCATTCTGTTAAGACAGCTCTAACAGCTGAGACCCATTTTGTAACACACTAAGACAGCTCTAACAGCTGAGACCCATTCTGTTAAGACAGCTCTAACAGCTGAGACCAATTTTGTTAAGACAGCTCTAACAGCTGAGACCCATTCTGTAACACACTAAGACAGCTCTAACAGCTGAGACCCATTCTGTTAAGACAGCTCTAACAGCTGAGACCCATTCTGTAACACACTAAGACAGCTCTAACAGCTGAGACCCATTCTGTTAAGACAGCTCTAACAGCTGAGACCCATTCAGTAACACACTAAGACAGCTCTAACAGCTGAGACCCATTCTGTAACACACTAAGACAGCTCTAACAGCTGAGACCCATTCTGTTAAGACAGCTCTAACAGCTGAGACCCATTCTGTAACACACTAAGACAGCTCTAACAGCTGAGACCCATTCTGTTAAGACAGCTCTAACAGCTGAGACCCATTCTGTAACACACTAAGACAGCTCTAACAGCTGAGACCCATTCTGTTAAGACAGCTCTAACAGCTGAGACCCATTCTGTAACACACTAAGACAGCTCTAACAGCTGAGACCCATTCTGTAACACACTAAGACAGCTCTAACAGCTGAGACCCATTCTGTAACACACTAAGACAGCTCTAACAGCTGAGACCCATTCTGTAACACACTAAGACAGCTCTAACAGCTGAGACCCATTCTGTTAAGACAGCTCTAACAGCTGAGACCCATTCTGTAACACACTAAGACAGCTCTAACAGCTGAGACCAGGCACACTAAGACAGCTCTAACAGCTGAGACCCATTCTGTTAAGACAGCTCTAACAGCTGAGACCAGGCACACTAAGACAGCTCTAACAGCTGAGACCCATTCTGTAACACACTAAGACAGCTCTAACAGCTGAGACCCATTCTGTTAAGATAGCTCTAACAGCTGAGACCCATTCTGTTAAGATAGCTCTAACAGCTGAGACACATTCTGTTAAGACAGCTCTAACAGCTGAGACCCATTCTGTAACACACTAAGACAGCTCTAACAGCTGAGACCCATTCTGTTAAGACAGCTCTAACAGCTGAGACCCATTCTGTAACACACTAAGACAGCTCTAACAGCTGAGACCCATTCTGTTAAGACAGCTCTAACAGCTGAGACCCATTCTGTAACACACTAAGACAGCTCTAACAGCTGAGACCCATTCTGTAACACACTAAGACAGCTCTAACAGCTGAGACCCATTCTGTAACACACTAAGACAGCTCTAACAGCTGAGACCCATTCTGTAACACACTAAGACAGCTCTAACAGCTGAGACCCATTCTGTTAAGACAGCTCTAACAGCTGAGACCCATTCTGTAACACACTAAGACAGCTCTAACAGCTGAGACCAGGCACACTAAGACAGCTCTAACAGCTGAGACCCATTCTGTTAAGACAGCTCTAACAGCTGAGACCAGGCACACTAAGACAGCTCTAACAGCTGAGACCCATTCTGTTAAGACAGCTCTAACAGCTGAGACCAGGCACACTAAGACAGCTCTAACAGCTGAGACCCATTCTGTAACACACTAAGACAGCTCTAACAGCTGAGACCCATTCTGTTAAGATAGCTCTAACAGCTGAGACACATTCTGTTAAGACAGCTCTAACAGCTGAGACCCATTCTGTAACACACTAAGACAGCTCTAACAGCTGAGACCCATTCTGTTAAGATAGCTCTAACAGCTGAGACCCATTCTGTTAAGATAGCTCTAACAGCTGAGACCCATTCTGTAACAAACTAAGACAGCTCTAACAGCTGAGACCCATTCTGTTAAGACAGCTCTAACAGCTGAGACCCATTCTGTAACACACTAAGACAGCTCTAACAGCTGAGACCCATTCTGTAACACACTAAGACAGTTCTAACAGCTGAGACCCATTCTGTAACACACTAAGACAGTTCTAACAGCTGAGACCCATTCTGTAACACACTAAGACAGCTCTAACAGCTGAGACCCATTCTGTTAAGACAGCTCTAACAGCTGAGACCCATTCTGTAACACACTAAGACAGCTCTAACAGCTGAGACCCATTCTGCTAAGACAGCTCTAACAGCTGAGACCCATTCAGTAACACACTAAGACAGCTCTAACAGCTGAGACCCATTCTGTAACACACTAAGACAGCTCTAACAGCTGAGACCCATTCTGTAACACACTAAGACAGCTCTAACAGCTGAGACCCATTCTGTAACCTACTAAGACAGCTCTAACAGCTGAGACCCATTCTGTTAAGACAGCTCTAACAGCTGAGACCCATTCTGTAACACACTAAGACAGCTCTAACAGCTGAGACCCATTCTGTAACACACTAAGACAGCTCTAACAGCTGAGACCCATTCTGTTAAGACAGCTCTAACAGCTGAGACCCATTCTGTAACACACTAAGACAGCTCTAACAGCTGAGACCAGGCACACTAAGACAGCTCTAACAGCTGAGACCCATTCTGTTAAGACAGCTCTAACAGCTGAGACCAGGCACACTAAGACAGCTCTAACAGCTGAGACCCATTCTGTAACACACTAAGACAGTTCTAACAGCTGAGACCCATTCTGTTAAGATAGCTCTAACAGCTGAGACACATTCTGTTAAGACAGCTCTAACAGCTGAGACCCATTCTGTAACACACTAAGACAGCTCTAACAGCTGAGACCCATTCTGTTAAGATAGCTCTAACAGCTGAGACACATTCTGTAACACACTTACAGAATGTTTGACCGTCAGGTTGCACAATAAGAATGGCGCCTAAAGTTTGCATACATCAAGGCAAGCACACAGCTTGGTGACTGCATATTTCAACTATAATCAGACTGGCCTTTTAAGTTTGCAGTCACGGCATTCAACGACATCTCAAAAACAGAAATCGTAGCAGCTAAAAATTACATTACACAACCACTATACCTTACTTACAATATACAAAAACACAAGCAAGTAGTCAAAACGGGTTTTTACAAGCTGTAGCTAATTTAGAAGTTTTCGTTATGTGGCATCAAGTATTGGGCATCAAGTTATACTCAGATTGAGTATAAGGTTTGTTAAAATTCAATGAAATGGTAGTGAAGTTTAACCATACATAAGCGTTTACGTTTTAAGAGTTAAAATGTGATAATATGATAAACACTAGACTGGTATATGCATGTTTAAAGTTTTGAAATATCACCGATTGTTAACTATGTCGTTTTGTTGTGAATTTATAAATGCTTATATATGAATGTTGAAAATGTGAGTTCATTATGAGTAATTAGAATAGCGCACCAATTATGTAAATGTAACAAGTGAGCACCAAAGACGGGGTCATGCTTTAGGTGCTGACATATCGACTGTAGTAGCTAACGTTAACCTACATGTCTCCACAGATTGGCCAGCACTTGCCACGTGGGTGCAGACTTACATCGGTGATTGGCTAACAAGGACAAGCACTGGTGCTATATAAGCTGGCTACACCTCATGTGGTTAGTGAACACATCTTCAGCTACCACTAGGCCGGTCTGTCAGCTGACTGCATGCCTGATGGGGACGGCACACATCTAATCACGGTTATGGCCGGTCCCCGGGGTGAGAGGGAGGTTGGTGGGCCGGGCCATCAGACTGCAGTGCTCACGCCGTGCGCGCGGGGGAAGAAGCGGAGGAAAAAAGCAAAGCGCTCTAAATCAAGTCTGTGTCGGTGGAGAACAGGCGGGATAGCCTGTGTCAGCACTGCTCCTACTCATTTCGTCAACACTGTCACCACTGGCCCGCTTCTTTTCGTCAACAAACTTCTTTCATTTCAACACAGGATTAGCAGCAAATCTAGGCTGCGAGCTTGTTGCTTACATTACTGTGATACTAGCATTACCATCACCAACCATTCCACACACGGGAGGGCCGCGACAAGAGCACCACGCTGGCTGGGTAAGAAGACTAGCGTCGTCTCTGTCTTGTGGCTACTGACCCAGGCATTACTGGCAGGGACTAACCCCGGCTGGGCAGCAGATGCGGCTGCTGTACCATCACCATCCTATTTATCATCCTCATCGGTGCTGCCGTCAAACAGCAGGTACCAACTTCTTCCACCATCGCAGTACAACGAGAGCATCTTCATCTTCTTCAACCCTGCATCCATCATCGACCTGAGGGTCAACTCACGCCAGAGCGTGTTCTTCAACTTCACGCTCTACCGGCGTCAGGCCAGGTTCGGCAAGCTCGTCAACGACATCCGCCTGCCGTACAACAAGACCAACGACGGATCCAGCATCGAACAAAGGAAAGACGTGACGTCAGAGGGGACTCTCAGCGACGTGTCACACTCGACCACTTCAGCCACACCAAAGCCAGGGGTCAGCAGCGAGTCGCCCGTGTCCACGGTCAGCTGGGCGAGCAGTACAGCCAACAGCAGCAGCTTGGAGAAGCCGAGCCGCCGGAGGGAGCAGAATGCCTCCACGTACTGGGTGATGATCTACTCCGATGACGATGCCATCGCCAGACCAGTCATCACGCTGCCCAATGGGCTGGCTGCGGCGCACGCCGACGCCAAGGGGAGCTACATTCTAATGGCCGTGACCGCGGGCCGTCAACACAACTTTTCCGTCGAGGCTCGTCACATAGGTAGGGTCACCATGTCCGTGGCTGTGGTGGACGTTGACGGGGACAGAGGGATGCCGCAGGTGAGACTAATGTTCCGTAGCTAGCATGGTACTTTTCTATAGCTAGCATGGCACTTTTCTATAGCTAACATGGCACTCTATAGCTATCGTCTCACTTGCCAATAACTATCTTCTCACTTGCCAATAACTATCTTCTCACTTGCCAATAACTATCTTGCCACTTTCCAATAACAATCTTGTCAATGTTATACCGCTGTCAATGCAATGTTATTCGGCATTATACTTTTCTTGCATTGTTAAACCTGTCAAATCTCTGTTGTAAAAAGGTCATGTTATTAATTTATAGCCCCCACATATGTTTTATAAATGTAAAAATCATTGTTCTACACAAGTCGTTTACTTGTTCTGTAAATGTCGTATCATTGTCCTGGTCAAATCGTCGTATTATTGATCATAATATAATTAGAAGAAGCATCAGTTTCCATCTTGTATTGCTTTCATCAGCCCAGACTTAAGCAGGGGCCAGATTTTAATTAGCTAATGCCTATACTATAAAAAGGCCGCCATCCCTGCCAATAATTAGCTAATGCCTAGCCACAGCCAAGAAAAGCGCGTGAATCCTCTTGTCTGCCCGTGTAAGACATACCACGTGGAGCTTCGAGAAAAATCGATATCCAGTTTCTGTCCGATTTTCTCTAACGGCCCAACTAGATGGCCTTCTGTTCTTTGGGCCGGTGGGGAAAAAATCTCAATAGCACAGTCATTTTCAACGAACTCAGTTCTGGCTGTCTTTAAGGCACATAAGCCAATCCTAAGACTTGTCTTTAAGACAGATCTCCTCGCGATAAGACGCAAATAACTTAAGACAGCAGGTGTAGTCACAGCCATCTAGAGGAGAAGAGTCCAAATATGTGTCTTTAGGCCCACACGACCTATACTAAATCCATGAGAATAGTCCAAATATGTGTCTTTAGGCCCACACGACCTATACTAAATCCATGAGAATAGTCCAAATATGTTTCTTTAGGCCCACACGACATACTAAATCCATGAGGATAGTAATGTATGCAGCTTTAGACCAATGTAAGTGTTTCACCTCCCCAGGCCAGCTACGTACAAGCAGTGGCAGCATCACAGTACCAGGTCACCACCGTCAGGGGGGAGAGAACAGCGGACATCGTCTTCAACAGCGCCGCCGCCGCCATTTCCATTATCATCAGCTTCGGGATCGGCGCCGTGACGGACAGCGACAGTCTGAAGAGACAACTCAAATACCCAGTGGCTCTCATCATAGGCTTCTGTTGCCAGTTCATCATCATGCCGCTGGTAAGATGCTCACATCGTCCTCTACGTCCTGTCATTGTCAGACGGTCTGATATGGGGTCAGTCTCACTAATTGTATGTGGTCAGTATCACTAATTGTATGTGGTCAGTATCACTAATTGTATGTGGTCAGTATCACTAATTGTATGTGGTAAGTCTCAGACATTGTATGTGGTCAGTATCACTAATTGTAAGTGGTCAGTCTCAGACATTGTATGTGGTCAGTCTCAGACATTGTATGTGGTCAGTCTCAGATATTGTATGTGGCCAGTCTCAGACATTGTATGTGGTCAGTCTCAGACATTGTATGTGGTCAGTCTCAGACATTATATGGGGTCAGTCTCAGACATTATATGTGGTCAGTCTCAGACATTATATGTGGCCAGTCTCAGACATTGTATGTGGTCAGTCTCAGACATTGTGTGTGGTCAGTCTCAGACATTGTATGTGGTCAGTCTCAGACATTATATGGGGTCAGTCTCAGACATTATATGGGGTCAGTCTCAGACATTATATGGGGTCAGTCTCAGACATTATATGTGGTCAGTCTCAGACATTATATGTGGTCAGTCTCAGATATTGTATGTGGTCAGTCTCAGACATTGTATGTGGTCAGTCTCACTAATTGTATGTGGTCAGTCTCAGACATTATATGTGGTCAGTCTCAGACATTATATGGGGTCAGTCTCAGACATTATATGTGGTCAGTCTCAGACATTATATGTGGTCAGTCTCAGACATTGTATGTGGTCAGTCTCAGACATTGTATGTGGTCAGTCTCAGACATTGTATGTGGTCAGTCTCAGACATTATATGTGGTCAGTCTCAGACATTGTATGTGGTCAGTCTCAGACATTATATGGGGTCAGTCTCAGAAATTATATGTGGTCAGTCTCAGACATTATATGTGGTCAGTCTCAGACATTGTATGTGGTCAGTCTCAGACATTGTATGTGGTCAGTCTCAGACATTGTATGTGGTCAGTCTCAGACATTGTATGTGGTCAGTCTCAGACATTATATGTGGTCAGTCTCAGACATTGTATGTGGTCAGTCTCAGACATTGTATGTGGTCAGTCTCAGACATTGTATGTGGTCAGTCTCAGACATTATATGTGGTCAGTCTCAGACATTATATGTGGTCAGTCTCAGACATTGTATGTGACCAGTCTCAGACTTAATAAATGTGTTAAATTATTTCCACTTTAAAAAGAACAAAAAACTAGTAAGCGTACTTCCTCTGTTTCCAAATAAACAAAATTAAAATTAATTCCGTATTTTCTCCAAAAAACAAAGAAATCTAAATTACTTTCAAACAGTTCACGGTATTTCTAGAATTTTCAAGAAAGACATGTTTGTTTAAAATTTGGATCTAATGAGATTTTTGCGTTGGATTTTCTAAAAAACTAGAATTTTAGTTTCATTTTTACTAAAGTAGTGCCTACAAAGTGGACAGTACAAGGCCTTACAATTAGCCACGATCTATTTCTGTCTACACAACCCCAGTCAATAAAATACCAATGAGGGGGGGGCGTTCAATTCATTTATCCAATACAACAATAGGATAAGTTTCAAAGTGTTAAAGAACCATTTAAAAAGGGAAGAAACTAGCAGTAACCGCGAAAGGCATCAATAAAATACACATGTAGTACAAGTTCACGTCAATCGTTAGTCGACTCATGAAACGCTGTATACAGTACAGATGACAGTGGTCATTACTCCACTGTTACTTTACGTTGCCATTAACGGTTACTAGTCAAGAAAATGCACATTCCCGCGTGATGAGGTGTGAAACAGCGATTTCATCACCCGTTGGTCCTTCATCTTGCTCCAATGATTTGTGTGAACGATCGGTTCACTGGTCCGTAGCGATACGCCAATAAATAAAGCATGAACGCCGTTTTAGAAAGTAACAGTACAGCCCTATCCGATGAGAGAGTGGTGCATTCGTAGTGTTGGTGTCTTGAGCAAACACCGGGGTGTAATCAGACAGCACAGTGTCAAGGTGTAATCAGTTCAGAGTACATGAAATCAGACACAATGTCATGATGTTAGTGTTATCAAACTCGACGGCAGGGTGTAATCATACAAAAACATGACTGTGTCTCATCAGAGTAAATTCAATGTCAGGGTGTTTTCAGATTACAAAAACAGACCATACGCCTAGATCAGGTAGAAAATATGACTAAATAAGAAGTGGCATTTCTAACATCACAATCAGACTATATTCTGCTAGCTGTATGCAGCATCGTTTCTGTCAATGTAGAAGGTAAATAAATTAAGCAATTGTTGTTTTTTAAACGAAGGGATAAAAATGATAATAGAGTTGAGTCCTTGCTCCCCTCCTCCTAATGCCCTATTATTTGGAGTCGAACGTTCCCATTACTTTGTGAACTGCCATGGAAAGAGGCTGGCACGGAATACGTCACAAACACACGATTGTTTACGTACAAATGGGGTCAGGGGTGAGGAATCAATGTATGCATTCTAATTATAGACGAGAAATCAATAGTCTTACACGAAAACTGTAGGCTCTGTTATAAAAATTGTTTCGTGGCCCTTGTTTGATCAGCCGATTATTACTCGAGCTATTATCAATTGTTTTATCCCCCCACCCCCATAATCAGCCGATTATTACTCGAGCTATTATCAATTCTTTTATCCCCCCACCCCCATAATCAGCCGATTATTACTCGAGCTATTATCAATTGTTTTATCCCCCCACCCCCATAATCAGCCGATTATTACTCGAGCTATTATCAATTGTTTTATCCCCCTCTCCCCCATAATCAGCCGATTATTACTCGAGCTATTATCAATTCTTTTATCCCCCCACCCCCATAATCAGCCGATTATTACTCGAGCTATTATCAATTCTTTTATCCCCCCACCCCCATAATCAGCCGATTATTACTCGAGCTATTATCAATTGTTTTATCCCCCTCTCCCCCATAATCAGCCGATTATTACTCGAGCTATTATCAATTGTTTTATCCCCCCACCCCCATAATCAGCCGATTATTACTCGAGCTATTATCAATTCTTTTATCCCCCCACCCCCATAATCAGCCGATTATTACTCGAGCTATTATCAATTGTTTTATCCCCCCACCCCCATAATCAGCCGATTATTACTCGAGCTATTATCAATTGTTTTATCCCCCCACCCCCATAATCAGCCGATTATTACTCGAGCTATTATCAATTGTTTTATCCCCTCTCCCCCATAATCAGCCGATTATTACTCGAGCTATTATCAATTGTTTTATCCCCCCACCCCCATAATCAGCCGATTATTACTCGAGCTATTATCAATTGTTTTATCCCCCCACCCCCATAATCAGCCGATTATTACTCGAGCTATTATCAATTGTTTTATCCCCCCACCCCCATAATCAGCCGATTATTACTCGAGCTATTATCAATTGTTTTATCCCCCCACCCCCATAATCAGCCGATTATTACTCGAGCTATTATCAATTCTTTTATCCTCTCCCCCCCCCCCCCCCGGCTACCATAATCAGCTGTTTCAACACTGATGTGTCCATTACAATCAGCTGTTACATTGTTTTGTGATGTACTTCAACTCCGTGTTATGCCTGGACCTAATGGTCAGCTACTTTGGTAAAACTGGTGTAGTCACGACCAAGCGTGTAATGACGTACTCCTACTCCGTGTTATGCCTGGACCTAATGGTCAGCTACTTTGGTAAAACTGGTGTAGTCACGGCCAAGCGTGTAATGACGTACTCCTACTCCGTGTTATGCCTGGACCTAATGGTCAGCTACTACAGCTGTGTTGTCCCTCCCCACGGTAGTGTAACATTTGTCTAGCCGTGCCCGGTCCAACATGTAGACCATTGTTGTTGTCAAAGATATTATTTCCTGCTGCGGGCGATGTTTACATAATCTGATCGCTGCTCGTGTAGAGGCGTGCATGACTCCTGCCTTAAACCGGTTCCCTGTGTGCCATTGAAATTATTTTCTGCGTCTACTCACAAAATCAATAAAATGCGGGAATCGATCGATCGAGAAGGGCCATTTCCTTTAGTGACCAGGCGACTGGAGCAGCGAGGAAACTGCGAGTGACCGCCGGAACATATTGCTGGCGTTTTTACCATTGACGTTTGCTTGGTTGATATATAGGCAATAAGGCTGTAAAATCTAGCCACCAGTTTCATACAATCATGTATTGCTTGTCATCTCGCTTCTCGGGGGTTGGTGTGGCCCGTGTCTAACACGGCTAACAGATCACCTCCGCCATTAACTCACCGACCCCAGATCAAAGAAAGACTGGACTCAAAAACTCGTTTGTCTTGGCACCTACACCAACTCGGCCACATATTTAGCACATGATAGGTCTGCACCGGCTAGGTCAGGTCCCAAGTACAAGCTGGAGGTGACAGAAGATGGACGGCTCTAAACACTAACTCATTAGAAAGGAATAACTACTTCAAGTTCTAGCTTTGCACCAAGCCCTTTACCAGAGGGGTATTTTTTTAGCACTAAGATATAATCTAGCAGTGAGCATCTTACAAAAAGTAGCACTTCTTTCTAATTAGCAAGAATATTCAATTTGACGCTTGGAAAGAGGAGTTGATTTTTTTTGTAATGTTTAAACATACTTCACTCTATGTTGTTGTCCTTTATAGGTAAAACAAAAACCAATCCAACGCTCAATGTTTTGGATTCTAGATGTATAGGGCAGCTAGAAGACAATGAAATCCGGCCAACCTGAGGCTGAGCATGAAATATTTGTTTATGTTTCAGCTGGCCTTTGGACTGGCTATGATGTTGCCGCTCCACAAGGACATCAGCTTCGGTCTGCTGTGTGTGGCCTGTGTCCCGGGGGGAGGACTCAGCCATGTTGCCGTCATCATCGCTGATGGGGACACGGCGCTCAGTTTGACCATGAACTTGATAGGGGCAGTGGCCATGTTGGGTAAGTCATGTGTGGCCATGTTGGGTAAGTCATGTGTGGCCATGTTGGGTAAGTCAGGTGTGGCCATGTTGGGTAAGTCAGGTGTGGCCATGTTGGGTAAGTCAGGTGTTACCATGTTGGGTAAGTCAGGTGTGGCCATGTTGGGTAAGTCAGGTGTTACCATGTTGGGTAAGTCAGGTGTGGCCATGTTGGGTAAGTCAGGTGTTACCATGTTGGGTAAGTCATGTGTGGCCATGTTGGGTAAGTCATGTGTGGCCATGTTGGGTAAGTCATGTGTGGCCATGTTGGGTAAGTCAGGTGTTACCATGTTGGGTAAGTCAGGTGTGGCCATGAACTTGATAGGGGCTGTGGCCATGTTGGGTAAGTCAGGTGTGGCCATGAACTAGCTAGGCAGTTAGAATAGTTTATCATCAGAACGTTTGAGATAAGATTAGACGATTAGATAACAACGAGGCCTAGATCTATATGTAGATATATTTATATATATTTTTTAAGTTCATTAAAAAAGATACTATTTTAAAAAAAAAACATGTTGATAACTAAAATACCGTCAGTGTTACTAGAGGAAAGAAAAGCTAAAACATCCAGAGAGAGAAAGCCGGCCGGCCGGCTGCATGGCTCTGACACAGTTATTGACAGCATGTCATTTCTTTGTTGCTAGAATATAAACAACAGCCCATTTCATCGAATGAAACACGATTCAGTGAAACAGAAAGAAAAAAAGCCATTTCCTGCAATTATAAACAGATGGTGCGGTGAAGGGGAAACGGCATGCCCAATCATCCAGATGCCAGTCGTGGGGTGGGGGAAAGATGTTAATGTATTTCACGTGAACCGGTCATTTCACATTAGTAGACCACTGAGACAGAGGAACATTTTTCAACGCGTGGCAGCGGGCTCGCTTTAAACGTAGCAGTTAAGTGTGTGTGTATATGTGTGTGTGTGTGTGTGTATATATATATATATATATATATATATATATATATATATATATATATATATATATATATATATATATATATATATATATATATATATATATATATATATATATATCGGGAGAAGGAGAAAGAAAGAGAGGAGGGAGGCTTAAGACAAGCCCCAAGAATAAAGCCATGATCACATGACTAGTCTAGCTGTACTGATTGGTTGACACGCCCACTACGGCGAGACCTTTCATTAATCTCAGCGTCGGAACTATTGATATTCTGCCGATATATAAAAACCGAGCAAAGAAGTGGTTCACACTTCCTTGACTCTGACATTTCTAGAAGGAGGGAGACACACCTTGGCTGCTCGATGTTCGCTGCCGTTTTCTCCTCCGGAGAAAAATCAATATTCGCCGACGGTTCCCAATTTGGCACGGATAAACACTTTCAGTTGCCAGATGTATTCTCAATATAGAAGAAAGTAAACAAATCCTAGCACTAATGGCGAGCTGCTGATCAAGTGTAGCTGTATAAATAGAAATAAATCTGGACTTTGTATAAATTCCGCTGGATAAAAGCTTGTCTTTTGTTTGCAGGTACCGCCCCTCTGTGGATCTTCGTGTTGGGCCAGTATTTCCAGACCAACCCCGACGCTGTGCTCAACCCGCGTGTGCTTCCTATTTATAACTTTGAGATTTGGCTGGCCTCCACTTTCTGTGCTTACATCCTGGGCCTGAGCACCAAACGGCTGAGGCCGGCCATAGCGGACGCCATCTTGATGTGGCTGATCAAGCCGTTCTTGCTGCTGGCCAGCATCCTGTACATCACGCTCGGCGTCTACATCAACATGTACGTCTTTGAGCTGGTCAACACCTACGCCCTGCTCAGCGCCATGCTACTGCCGCTCTGTGGCTGTGTGGTGGGCGCCACCATGGCCGTCATCTGCCGACAAAACCTCGCGTTCATCAAAACCATCGCGCTCGAGACCTCCAGTCTCAACTGTCTGGTTGTCATGGTTGCCCTCAGGTTTTCTCTCAAGCAGCCTGACGCCGATCTGGCCGCCATGATACCGATATGGGTCATGTTCACCATTCCTGGACTTTTCGTCTTCCTAGCTATATGCAACAAAACAAAGGTCGTCGTGCTCCACTACTGGAGAAACAGAAACAACAAAGACAATGAGCTGCAGAACTCGTCCAAAGCGTATTCGGTCAGTTCGTCTGTGGTCAGCCCCCCTGGCACCACGACCCTGTCTGCCCCCCTCGTGATGGCCGACGGTATCGATGATGATGCTACCATCAGTACCATGAGCAACCAGAAGGTGACTGTATTATAGCTTTTTCCTGGGCGGATTTCGTTAACAGCCGATCTAGTCCCACGGGTGGGTGTTAGATACAGTTTTTGTATGACGACATGTTGGATACAGTTTTTGTATGACGAAATGTTGGATACAGTTTTTGTATGACGAAATGTTGGATACAGTTTTTGTATGACGAAATGTTGGATACAGTTTTTGTATGACCGAGAGACAAAGATGAGCGCCTCAAAAGACGAGCACGATACACAAAGCCACACACTGAATGGGATATTTGTCACTCACTGAATGAGATGCTTGTCCGAATCAAACCAAAGCGAAGGTCTGACTTTGGTGTTATGTACAGGCATTGTTGGATCTGGTATTAACGAGAATTTTCTGTAACAACCAGTCATAGGCACTATTTAGACGAATGTAAATAGCCGTCATCTAACTGGTAGATTGATCCATTTGGCACACATTTCTGCATGTTACCACCCTCACCCCTCCTCCGTTTAGCACCAGTTTCATCTTGAACCAGACTACTATTTAACTGGATCATTAACCAGCCTCGCTAAATGTCACTCGTACCCACATCAGTCCTAGCATGCATTAGATTGTTTTATTTACCACACAAATCCGCGCAACGACCGAAATGTCCATTTTTAACAAGGACAATAAAGAAGTTTTTTCCCACTCACATATAGCACGAAAAAAGAGCGCAGACGTTTATTACCCAAGTATAAACTGATGTACGTGTAAATTTGTGTTCAGCTGAGCGAGCAGGCCAGAGGAAGCCAAGGCTGGGTTTATTGTAGGAGAACTCGGCAGGGCCAGATGTCCACCAGATCTAAACACACCGCCCTCGATACGGGTGGCTTCATACGCGGCTTGTATGTACATACATCTGTTACGTTTACATTCCAGGCAAAAAAAATGTTGAGCACCCAACTCATTAGGGATTCGATTTTTTTAAAAACAAGTTATTGGCTAAATAGTATAGCTTTGGAAGCCTGTCGAGTTATTGATGTTAAGTGTTCGGTCAGACGGTACTTGACCGCCATGCTGGACCGCGTTAATGGATGCAAGGCGAGTGCAGTGTCCGGTGCACGATCAGAGTTGTTTGAGTGCATGAGTGAGTGGCTTGACAGCAACACACGCATGACGTTACATGGAAGTGTGGTGGCGACGTCAGATTGTTGTTGCGTTGACATTTCACCTGAAAGTGTGCTGATAAGACATTCAGAGAAATCCTAAGACAAGGGAGAAAAAGACAATGTGGAAGGAAATGTGCCACACTCTTTCATCTAGCCAACATCGAATTCCTACCTCAATATGTCTTGTGCTAATATTTGACTACTGACTTTAACAAATGCTTGCTGAACTGACTGGGTTGTTCTGTTATAACCACTGGTCATGGGGGGAAGGAGGGGGGATAACTCTAGTCTCACATACAGTTGGCGGGGGACGAAGTGTGAATCAAGATCCACACAGGTAAAACAAAACTGTGGAAAGATGCTGGTAGAGACTGAGAGAAAACTAGTTTCATAACTACGCCCCACCTATTGTATGAGAGGTTTAGGGTCATAACTACGCCCCACCTATTGTATGAGAGATTTAGGGTCATAACTACGCCCCACCTATTGTATGAGAGGTTTAGGGTCATAACTACGCCCCACCTATTGTATGAGAGGTTTAGGGTCATAACTACGCCCCACCTATTGTATGAGAGATTTAGGGTCATAACTACGCCCCACCTATTGTATGAGAGGGGACTTTAAGAGAAGGGCATGTGTTTTTCTTAAGATCACATAAAAAAACAAACAAACCTGCAGCCTTTTAACCTCTTTAAGTAAAATTCACCAACCGTTAGTTTTTTCCTGACGTCACTCTACCTCCCACACCCGCCGACAGCTTTAACCAAATACCAAAAGACAAACCTATTGATCTCACGACAAGCCAAAAACCTTTCCCACTAGACAGTCATCAGTTTCTGTCAGAGCTGGCTGGTCTTATGACAGTTAGTCATTAGTTTCTGTAGTTTCCGTCAGAGCTGGCCGGTCTTATGACAGACAGTCATTAGTTTTCGTCAGAGCTGGTGGGTCTTATGACAGTCAGTCATCAGTTTCTGTAGTTTCTGTCAGAGCTGGTGGGTCTTATGACAGTCAGTCATCAGTTTCCGTCAGTCATGGCCGGTCTTATGCAAAATTTCCTGCTCAACTTTTTAACCAATGACGATGAGCTTTTGTTGAAAGAACCAACGCAGACGAGCAAAGGGAAGAACCAATGCATGACTTGTTACTCAACTGTTGCTCTCATTTGTTGATCAAATGTTATACTTGTTTGGTTTTTTCTCTACTTCCTACTTATGCAAGTGTTTAGACACAGTCACTGTTCTAGCTGTTAGCATCTATTGTACAGATGGTTTTCTTAAGACTTTTTATTCATTCACTTTTATCTCTATCTGCACTGTCATTTGTTGGTCATTTTTTACTGACCATTGCATGTTCATTTTATTAGGACAATTACACAGATAGTAGGCCTAGTAGGTCATTTTTTACTGACCACTGCATGGGCATTTTATTCAGACCATTACCCAGATAGTAGTTGGTCATTTTTTACTAGCAATTAAATTAGGTTTAGGATACTAATGTAATTTTATTACCATTAAAGGTACATGTAATTGTGTGGATAACATTTAAACTCTAAAAAAATTTAATCTAACTTGACATTGTGCAAGTCAAACCTGAAACCATGTCCTACTGTTATTTGTATTAAATAATGGTTGCATCATCCCATCTAATTTTTACTGTAATGCATTGCTGGTGTCATTTTCAGAAAACCATGGGTCTAGGATGGGTCTAGGATGGGTGTAGGATGGGTGTAACATGGGTCTAGAATGGGTGTAGGTTGGGTGTAGGTAGGGTGTAGGTTGGGTGTAGGATGGGTGTAGGTAGGGTGTAGGTTGGGTGTAGGTTGGGTGTAGGTTGGGTGTAGGATGGGTGTAGGATAGGTTTAGGATGGGTGTAACATGGGTGTAGGTAGGGTGTAACATGGGTGTAGGATGGGTGTAGGATAGGTTTAGGATGGGTGTAGGTTGGGTGTAGGTTGGGTGTAACATGGGTGTAACATGGGTGTAGGATGGGTGTAACATGGGTGTAGGATGGGTGTAGGTTGGGTGTAACATGGGTGTAGGTTGGGTGTAGGATGGGTGTAGGTTGGGTGTAGGTTGGGTGTAACATGGGTGTAACATGGGTGTAGGTTGGGTGTAACATGGGTGTAGGATGGGTGTAGGATGGGTGTAGGTTGGGTGTAACATGGGTGTAGGATGGGTGTAGGATGGGTGTAGGATGGGTGTAACATGGGTGTAGGATGGGTGTAGGTTGGGTGTAGGATGGGTGTAACATGGGTGTAGGTTGGGTGTAGGATGGGTGTAGGTTGGGTGTAGGTTGGGTGTAACATGGGTGTAACATGGGTGTAGGATGGGTGTAACATGGGTGTAGGTTGGGTGTAGGATGGGTGTAGGATGGGTGTAGGTTGGGTGTAACATGGGTGTAGGATGGGTGTAGGATGGGTGTAGGATGGGTGTAACATGGGTGTAGGATGGGTGTAGGTTGGGTGTAGGATGGGTGTAACATGGGTGTAGGTTGGGTGTAGGATGGGTGTAGGTTGGGTGTAGGTTGGGTGTAGGATGGGTGTAACATGGGTGTAGGTTGGGTGTAGGATGGGTGTAGGTTGGGTGTAGGTTGGGTGTAACATGGGTGTAACATGGGTGTAGGATGGGTGTAACATGGGTGTAGGATGGGTGTAGGTTGGGTGTAACATGGGTGTAGGATGGGTGTAGGTTGGGTGTAACATGGGTGTAGGATGGGTGTAGGTTGGGTGTAACATGGGTGTAGGTTGGGTGTAACATGGGTGTAGGATGGGTGTAGGATGGGTGTAACATGGGTGTAGGATGGGTGTAGGTTGGGTGTAACATGGGTGTAGGTTGGGTGTAACATGGGTGTAGGATGGGTGTAGGTTGGGTGTAACATGGGTGTAGGTTGGGTGTAGGATGGGTGTAGGTTGGGTGTAGGTTGGGTGTAACATGGGTGTAACATGGGTGTAGGATGGGTGTAGGTTGGGTGTAACATGGGTGTAGGATGGGTGTAGGTTGGGTGTAACATGGGTGTAGGTTGGGTGTAACATGGGTGTAGGATGGGTGTAGGTTGGGTGTAACATGGGTGTAGGTTGGGTGTAACATGGGTGTATGATGGGTGTAGGTTGGGTGTAACATGGGTGTAGGTTGGGTGTAGGATGGGTGTAGGTTGGGTGTAGGTTGGGTGTAACATGGGTGTAACATGGGTGTAGGATGGGTGTAACATGGGTGTAGGTTGGGTGTAGGATTGGAGGAGAGCAGGAGTGATGTATTTTGAGTAACTTGCTAAAAGCCCCATAATTAAATGTATCAAATAAATGGATCAGTAGCATGTACGGAATAAATCTACTAGTCCAAAGTGTTGAGCCAAATTGTGATATTATAGTTGTACTGCTAGGCCTAGAGCACTAGTTACTTCTGTGATGTAGTGGTTAGACCACTAGCTATGTTGTATAATGAGCCCACCTACAATGTCATTTCATGTTAACAAAACTCACTTGTCCAGTAGAACTATCTCAATGATAGTCATGTTCTTCACAGTTTTCACATGTATTTAACTATATAACTTTTAGAAAATGGCACACCTTAACATGCAAGGGAAGTAACTGCAAGGATGACAGATGAAGGCAGAAAATGGATCATGTCCCCATGTTTGGTCCATTTAACATGCATTGTTTTGTTCTGTATTTTCAAATAAATATGCAAAATAGAAAAGTTGCAAGCAGCTGTCTATGAAGGATGTACAATATAGATTTCCAAGTGGAAATATTTGTGCCATTGATGTACTTTACCTCTTTCAACTAATGGGAACATTATAATATAGTCTTGTACAGTATAAGCAGATGAGTTTTCAAATTTCCAATTTATATTAATACCCTTTCTTTTTTAATTAGTTTAGATTTATATGCTAATCTTGATTGTGATTTTTATTCTCTTTCTTATTCACTTGTAAGCTTTTAAGTAGCAGGTATCACTGGCGTGAAGTCCCACAATTCTTCCAATAAGTATTTATGGCTTGTTTTTTTTATCTTTTTATCCACAATTTTCTACACTCAATTTTTGGTCACTAATTGTTTACACAGTTGAAGTGTTGACTGAGAATCTTTATTTCATTATTTCTTAATAAAAAGTCAATAATGCATCTCTAGATTACTAGAAAATATGGCCTTCTCTGAGTATTTTATATGTGTCTAACAATGTAACAGTTCACAGGGAATACATTATCTTTTCCTGTTCATGCTCAAGACACATGGGGCAGATGAAGTAGATTTCATCTGTTTCAATTACCTTGGCATACCTTGGGATAGTGTGGTAAGCATTATGCCCAGATGCCTTAGTTTCATGTGCCCATCAGGGCTGATAAGTCTTATAGACTCAAGTCTAAGATCCGAACTCAAGACCACTGATTAGCAGTTGTAAGCTATACTATTTGACTGCACCATCCCTCATGAAATACATGGGTGACCAAAAGAGATATAGCTGACCATCATCAAACAAGAGAAAGGTGACCATCATCAAACAAGAGAAAGGTGACCATCACCAAACAAGAGAAAGGTGACCATCACCATACATGAGAAAGGTGACCATCACCAAACAAGAGGAATGTGATCATCTCTTTAAACTAGAGACAGGTGACTACCACTAAACTAGAGAAAGGTACCATAATCAAATAAGAGACAAGTGATGAGCAACCAAGACCCAATTAAAACTCAAGAGCATTCTCCATAGGTTTCCACAACAATAATATTAGTCCACAGACACATTTTTAGTAAACAAAGTTACTGTATGGCTTCTAAAATCATGGTTCTTGTGCATGTATAAACTTATTTGTACATAGAATTTCTGTGAAGAGATCAAATACAACAAGTCTATTAAACAATGAAGTTAATCCAAAATTTACACTAGCCAGCAAACTCTCAGAAAAAGGTGAAAAGAAACAGACTGAGACTGTGTATGTCAGGCTTATGCTGCATGTTGTAGGTACAAGCTTTCAAATTTTCTGGTCGATAAATTCTTTAGGCTAAATTTTTCTAAATCAATCATAAGATACAAACAGTAAAACATTCAGGGGGAAAGCTACAACTAGCCACACAATGGTTAGTGCGCCTTCCAATTTGATATCCACCAAAGTCAAAATATGGGGGATGGTTGCCACACCACAAAAAAATGTGCTACAAACAGGCTTAAGACCACACTGACAAGTTATGTTGCTCCTGTGGTTGTAAAAATACTGCAGTCTTGCAGCTTGCAACATGAGTGGGTGGTAATCAACTCACAGGTCAGTAAGCTAATTAACCCAAAGTAAATCAGTACACAAGTAAATCAAGCATTTAGCACACAGGTGAATCAGTCAACCCACAGATAAAATAAGGTTTCTTCCTATACATAAACCAGGTAATCAATACCACTAAAAGTAATCAGAATTCCTAATAAAGCCAGAACACTTCATACCAAACTTTACTTTACTAAACTTCATACAATGCATCTTATAGAAGTATAGATTGTTTTTATTATTCTTTTAAATTTTAACCCAATGCAACAACTTCACCAGGTAGCTAAAGAAACACCTTTCCTAAACCACCACCCCCATTCTATAGAACAAAGCCACAGCATCAATGCCACAATAAAAGCATTGGTCACTGAAATATGTAAGAGATCTCAAGAGCAAACAAAGCTTTAATTAAAGAAAGCATGCTTGTTTTATTTTCTTATTTTCAGTGCATTTGATTTTGAATAAAAAAAACTTATTTTTGGTATTTGGTTATTTTTTTATATTTTCTATATTTTTTCTTTTTCCCTTCTAATTTTGAGTAATTCGATCTTAATGAAGTCATAAGGACAAGCGACTAAAAATATCTGCTTTAAAACCTGATCAGTAGCTTGTGATCTCTAATAGATAATTCACTTCCCCTTCTTAGACCTAAGTCAACTTTCAGGCAAGAGAGTTCACTATCAACAGTGAGCTGATAGATCATATAGTGATTGCTAGTATTTAATCTTGTTATTTCCCCTTTTATTATTCAAGTTAGTAATTTTCAAATGAAATAAAAAATTGTGACGATTAATATAATGTCTAATTTAAAAAAAGATATGCATGCAATTGTCATTTTGGAAATAAATGAATCTGGAAAGAAGTGGGTTAAAATGGAGGCGAGCGAGTTGACGAGAATCCTTCCATCATGTTGTTGACATGGAATAAAAACATGCTTTTTTAGATTTAGCAAACAAAGCAATCGTAAAATAATAAAAAATAAAAACTTGCAAATCCAGAGAACTTGAAAATAATTTGTTGAATTTAAGGCTACATTTCTATTTATTTTCATCAAGCCTAAGTTATAACTGGATGTTTCAATTTCGTAAGACAAATATTGATTGGCTGTAAAGGAACTCTGTGATCAATAACTATTTGTTTACAAAACTTTGCAGATATGGCCTAAAGCTTTTAAAAAAGAATGCAAATTTAAACCCCATGACCTAGTTTTCCTTTTTTTTTTTTGCTTACAATGTGTACAATAAAATTTATGGCAGCCTATCGAATAGCAGGATGCCATTGTTTATGTCGCCATTAAGTGTGAAAACCAAATTGTTTTTGCTTTTTTTTTTTTTTTTATTTAGTTACCGAAAATATTAGAAACATCAAATACATCCAAACCAGAAAGACAGGACTTTGTAACCATATTAATTTGTAACTACTCTGTGCATGATTTTAAAATTATTTAATGGGCCTGTCAAATACTTTCTCGCTCGCCTCCATTTGAGTGACAAGATTAGCCACAATTACAGGGTGTTGTTTTCAGATTACAAAAACAGATCATATGACTAGATCAGAAAGAAAATATGAATAAATAAGATCTAGATCTAGTACTCAATAGTAGATCTAGATCTCTAGTACTGTACTGTTTAGTAAATAGTGTACTGTTTACGGAGTATAACACTACAGTGTACATGAGACTGATGAGAGAGTCTGAGCTGAGACTGGCTGAGAGTTCTCTGACTGAGACTAGAGTACACTAACAGAGTCAGTCTAGACTAGATATGATATAATTTTAAACAAGCAACTAGATATCTAGATCTAGATCTAGACGTATATATGTAAATTCATAATAGATCTACATTTTTTATGAGTAAAGTATTCCCTACCTTTTAGGGCCAAAAGTTGTTCTCTATCTCGGTTATTCTCCATGTTTGGTTGGTGTCTGCTTTAGAGTATGGAATTTTTTAAACTTTTGAAACAGAAGATTCAGAACCTAGAATCTAGATCTCTAGATCTACTTCCGTAATAACAAAACATTAAACACATTTCAAATAGTGGTAACCTAGTTCTTAGTACAAGATCTAGCAGGAGCTTAGGTTAGTACTTACTTAGTGTTTAATTAGTGACTAGGGCTATGACCAGTTTGAATAGTGTAAAACGTTTGTTAGCGTCGTAAATTCGTAAAATGTGCGGAGGAGGTAATTTAATTAATAAAATGGTAAAAGTTAATAGCAGACAAGTAGGGTAATCTATCGTTTTGGGTACGTAAAATCGCCCGCGACTAGTAATGTGAAAAACAGGTGACTCCTTAAATTTTAATAATTATTTCACATTTTGAGGAGGATTTATGTTTTGAAAAATACAAAAATGTTTCCTTCTTTCATTTATGTACCTGTTTTTAAACAATTGAATTAAAACTTTTCAGTAATAAATGAAGACTAGCGATATTTCCAACAGATGCAACCATGCTCATTTACTATAGCAGCCATCTTGTTTAAGTTTTTTTTATAGCGGATATAGCGCGAGACAGGCGGAAGTCACTCTATTTTACAAATGGCTGCTATTTATATAGCAAATCTTGCTCGCAAACACTGCTGTTTAAAGTAAATTTCTGGCATATATTGATATATTTAGCCATTGATTTAGTTTTATTATTCATTTATCTATAATATTTGACACAAATATATCACAATATACTTCTACTAAAGCCTTGACAATGAGGTAACTTTTTCGTACATTAATAGCCGCGGGCGATTTTACGTACCCAAAACGATAGATTACCACAAGTAGATCTTACTTAACTTAATACTAGTAGAGTGTCAGTGTAGTTGAGTGTAGGTAGACTGTAGTAGTAGTAGACATACAACACTAACAGTAACACTACAGTAACAGTTGTCATTCAATAGTATCACAGTCAGTGACTAGCATCATGATCATAGTAGATAACTGAATAATAAAGCAAAATCAATAGGCCTAGGCCTAGCTAAATATTAATAATATAGGCCCTAATACTGCCTAATAGGTAATCTATCGTTTTAGGTACGTAAAATCACTCGCGGCTATTAATGTACGAAAACGTTACCTCATTGTCAAGGCTTTAATAGAACTGTATTGCGATATGTTTGTGTCAAATATTATAGATAAATGAATAATAAACCTAAATCAATGGCTAAATAATAAATATATAAATTTAGGCCAGAAATTAACTTTAAACAGCAGTGTCTGCGAGCAAGATTTGCTATATAAACAGCCGCCATTTGTAAAATAGAGTGGCTTCCCCCTGAATCTCGCGCTATAAGTTTATAAAAATAAAACTTAAACAAGATGGCTGCTATAGTAAATGAGCATGGTTGCATCTGTTGGAAACATCGCTGAAAAGTTTTAATCTAATTGTTTAAAAACACGTACATAAATGAAAGATGGAAACATTTTTGTATTTTAAAAAACATAAATCCACCTCAAAATGTGAAATAATTATTAAAATTTAAGGAGTCACCTGTTTTTCACATTACAAGTCGCGGGCGATTTTACGTACCTAAAACGATAGATTACCATATAATAATAATATTAATAGGCCTATATCAATATTAGCCAGCAGTAGCAGTGCTTGCGAGCAAGAGATGCTATATAATACAGCGACCATCTGTAGTGTAGGTTTGAGTGGTTTCCCCTGAATCTCTAGCTATAATTTTACCAAAAAAAAACTTAAGATGGCTGCTAAAAAAGTAAATGAGCTTGGTTGCATCTGATGAAAACATCGCTAGTCTTTATTTTTTACTGAAAAGTTTTAATACCATTGTTTAAAAAACAGGTACTTTAATGAAACTTTGAAACATTTATGTAACTTTCAAAACAAAAATCCGCCTAAAAGTTTGAAATAATTTTAAAAATTTAATGAGTCACCTTTTTTCACACTACTAGTCTCGACCGATTTTACATACCTAAAACGATAGATTGCCTAGTAAATTAGTATGTAGTATAGAGTAGATTATTTTACTTCCTGCTTCACGTTCACCTTCAATTGAGCGTATTTTTTACTAGAAAAAATCACAACGGCAGAAAAGACATATTCTGCATCTTAAAAGAATGATTGTTGAACTAAATCTTAACCAATTTGGACGATATTTTGAATCGTCCCTATGAACCTTTAAAAAACTTGATCAAGAGAACAGCCAACTAAGCCCCCCTATTTTGCTCACTGTGTATTTGAATGGGAAGAAATCGCATCACAACAACACTCCTTAAAAACCAACCCACCTTATTAGTCATAACGGCGTAGCCATTTAAAAATGAATGTGTTTTTAAAAAAATCATTGATTTTCTGTTTTGTGGCGCCAAACAACAAAATTTCCTACTATGGGTTTGGGGAAATGGATTTAGATATAACTTCGCTAAACTCTGGATTTTAGCAAATTGATTTCACAATCATTTTTCAATTCACAATGTACATTGTCAGTATTTCTATATTTGAAAGGGTGAAATAAAAACAATACAATAATAATAAAAGACAATAATAAAAGACAATAATAAAGTAGCAAAAATAATGACCTTTTTTTTCCTTAGACTAGAAGCAAGAGATGCCAGAAATTGAGTTGCAACATATTGTGTCATGCAGTAGTGCAGATAAGGTACTGTGCTTATTATTTCATTACACAACATATTGTATCATGCAGTAGTGCAGATAAGGTACTGTGCTTATTATTTTATTACACAACATATTGTATCATGCAGTAGTGCAGATAAGGTACTGTGCTTACTATTTCATTACACAAGGTACTGTGCTTATTATTTCATTAAAAAATTTGATTTTACCATCACTAAAACCACATGTTTATAGATATTTTATTATCCATTGTAAAATACAGCTACTTCAAATAGATTTTGGGGAAAAAATGAAAACCTAGTTAAAGATTTTCCTAAAATTAAATTGTTTTTGACATAGTTAAGTTGAAGAGTTAACAGTACATTTACCATTTGTCCTCACTAGAATAATCCAGCTGAGAATCTCCTGAAAGCTGATGGTGCCTTTAAATGGAAATGTGCTTCACCAGGGGAGAAAAGTGTATCATGTGTGATACAGGTCTGTAAATACTTGATCTTTTGTAGGTCTCTGTGTCTTTGTACTTTTACATGGTCTTTTTTCTTTTAACATGAAACAAAAATCCTTTAACATGAAAAGATTTGACACCATAGAAAAAAACGTTTCTGCACTTTCCATTGAGCTTAAATTCCATGTACTTTGATCTTGTTCCATTCACCTGGGGATCTGTGATTGTCTCACTGTCTCGGTATTTCATTTAGAATGTTTTACGTTTAGGTTAAATGTAGATCATTCCAGAATGCACCGAAAATCTACTTTGGTAGCGACTTAAGCTTTTATTAAAGAATATGTGTTTGTTTATTTTCCTATTTTCTATGCAGTTAAAAGCTTGTTATTATAGAGGTTTTTATAATTGTTTCCTTAGTCTCGATACTTTCAATAGCTCAAGGATGTAATGCGTTTGGTCAAAGTATTTGTTTTAATATATTGAACATTTAAATCAGAACTTTGCTATGTGTAGAAAATAATTTTAAAAATTTATTTTATTAAATGAATGACTTCTTCAGCTTTGCAAGTCTACAAAAATTCACTCCATCGACATTGGCAATGAGGGGTCTGCTTTTGTTGAGGTTCTGGTTGGACAGGCAACGGCAGCATCAGACAGAGATTTCCAGGTAGTGTACACATTACATTCATGGATGTATATGTACACTTTACGTCATGGCTGTACATGTACACATTACATTCATGGATGTATATGTACACATTACATTCATGGATGTACATGTACACATTACATTCATGGATGTACATGTACACATTACATCATGGATGTACATGTACACATTACATCATGGCTGTACATGTACACATTACATCATGGATGTACATGTACACATTACATCATGGCTGTACATGTACACATTACATCATGGATGTACATGTACACATTACATTCATGGATGTACATGTACACATTACATTCATGGATGTACATGTACACATTACATTTATGGATCTACATTATTAAAGAGCATTATTTACTTTTAAATCATGCCCATATTACTGAAAAATATAATATTTTTAAACACAACCAACCACAATCAGCATAAAATAACATCACCCCCCCTCCTACACACACACACATATTTAAAAAAAGACACCCTCCCCCCTCAAACAAATGAAGAAAGAAGTTAAATTCTTCACAAAGTTTATTATGAGCATGTTTACTAAACAAACAACAGATGTTGTACTGAATGTGTTTAATCTGTCTTAAACACCTGTCAGCTTGTTTGGGTTTTTCAACGTGTGATATTGGTGGTTTTTTCAACAGGTTTTATTAGTTGCCTCATCTTTCATGAGTCCACTAGAGAGTAGGAACGCTCAGCTTGTTTGGGTTTTTCAACGTGTGATATTGGTGGGTTTTTTCAACAGGTTTTATTAGTTGCCTCATCTTTCATGAGTCCACTAGAGAGTAGGAACACTCAGCTTGTTTGGGTTTTTCAACGTGTGATATTGGTGGTTTTTTCAACAGGTTTTATTAGTTGCCTCATCTTTCATGAGTCCACTAGAGAGTAGGAACACTCAGCTTGTTTGGGTTTTTCAACGTGTGATATTGGTGTTTTTTTCAACAGGTTTTATTAGTTGCCTCATCTTTCATGAGTCCACTAGAGAGTAGGAACACTCAGCTTGTTTGGGTTTTTCAACGTGTGATATTGGTGGTTTTTTTAACAGGTTTTATTAGTTGCCTCATCTTTCATGAGTCCACTAGAGAGTAGGAACACTCAGCTTGTTTGGGTTTTTCAACGTGTGATATTGGTGGTTTTTTCAACAGGTTTTATTAGTTGCCTCATCTTTCATGAGTCCACTAGAGAGTAGGAACAGCACAAACAGAAATGCAGTCAGAATGTTCGGCCCAGACAAACTCAACAAAGAGACATCAGGCCAGAAATGGGACAGGGTCAAAATTGTCTGCTCACAGCCATTCTCTAAAGTAAAGTTCCATCTGCTCACAGCCATTCTCTAAAGTAAAGTTCCATCTGCACACAGCCATTCTCTAAAGTAAAGTTCCATCTGCACACAGCCATTCTCTAAAGTTCCATCTGCACACAGCCATTCTCTAAAGTTCCATCTGCACACAGCCATTCTCTAAAGTAAAGTTCCATCTGCACACAGCCATTCTCTAAAGTTCCATCTGCACACAGCCATTCTCTAAAGTAAAGTTCCATCTGCTCACATCCATTCTCTAAAGTTCCATCTGCACACAGCCATTCTCTAAAGTTCCATCTGCACACAGTCATTCTCTAAAGTAAAGTTCCATCTGCACACAGCCATTCTCTAAAGTTCCATCTGCACACAGTCATTCTCTAAAGTAAAGTTCCATCTGCACACAGCCATTCTCTAAAGTTCCATCTGCACACAGTCATTCTCTAAAGTAAAGTTCCATCTGCTTACAGCCATTCTCTAAAGTTCCATCTGCACACAGCCATTCTCTAAAGTTCCATCTGCTCACAGCCATTCTCTAAAATTCCATCTGCTCACAGCCATTCTCTAAAGTTCCATCTGCACACAGTCATTCTCTAAAGTAAAGTTCCATCTGCACACAGCCATTCTCTAAAGTAAAGTTCCATCTGCACACAGCCATTCTCTAAAGTTCCATCTGCACACAGCCATTCTCTAAAGTTCCATCTGCACACAGCCATTCTCTAAAGTAAAGTTCCATCTGCTCACATCCATTCTCTAAAGTTCCATCTGCACACAGTCATTCTCTAAAGTAAAGTTCCATCTGCTTACAGCCATTCTCTAAAGTTCCATCTGCACACAGCCATTCTCTAAAGTAAAGTTCCATCTGCTCACATCCATTCTCTGTATGTTGCATCCACTGTATTCATCACATACAATTTTATCTCATGTTACTTTTGTCTGATGTAGTGTTAAATAATTTGTGAGTTGACATGTTATTTTTGTCTGGTTTAGACATGCCAGTATGGTCTCTCATTCATCAAGCTCCACTCACCACCCAGTGAAAGCAAAGATACTGTAAGTCACTCGTTTTTTAACTCGTGTATTTTCATATTGTTTTTTTTTTAACAGGAATCTTTTTGTTGGTTTATTTTTTTTTTTTAAAGATTGCCAAGAATGCAGTTGACTTGTTGTTTTTTTTGAGTTTATGCAGGAACCTGTTTTCCTTGTATCTGATAGGCCCAAGCTAAAGTAAAAAAACTGGGGGCCTTTACCATCAGGGACAGTGAAGAGGATGAGATCAAAGTTGGCTCGTTATTTGCCAGCAGGGCACACAAGGAATCCAGCCCACCCCCCACCCCTAAAGGTTGGTTTAACTTATTTATAAAACATAATCCAACCCCCCCCCAGCAGGGCACACAAGGAATCCAGCCCACCCCCCACCCCTAAAGGTTGGTTAAACTTGTTTATAAAACATAATCCAGCCCACCCCTCACCCCTAAAGGTTGGTTAAACTTATTTATAAAACATAATCCAGCCCTACGCCTCCCACCAACCTTAATGCTTGTATTGCTTGATCAGGTGCAGCTGCAGTACGTGCAGCCAACAAATTGGTGCAGGATGTGATAAAGACAACTGCCTTACCATTACCACCAGCTAAAAGACAAGCAACATCACCACCTCCAGAGTCTGTAAGTTCTACTAACGTTCTCACAATATACTTCAAGCATCCTTTAAACTGATCATGTCAGTAATGAAACTATTGGCATTTTTGTGCAGGTTATTGAACTGATATTTTTCTCTCAATTCTTTAGTCAAAAGCAAAGACCATAAAACCAGAGCCCAAGAAAGTAGAGAGCACTAAAGATCCAGAGCCCAAGAAAGTAGAGAGCACTAAAGATCCAGAGCCCAAGAAAGTAGAGAGCACTAAAGATCCAGAGCCCAAGAAAGTAGAGAGCACCAAAGAGCCAAAGAAAGAGGAGAGTGATGGAGAAGAGAGTGAAGAGCTGCCAGCTAGAGCAGCCCTGAAGAGACAGTCAACCAGCCTCAGCTCAGTGGCCAGCTCAGTCAACAAACCTGACAAGGGAGACAAAGCTGCATTTAAACGCACAAGCAGTTAAGAATAGTTTTTGCTTTAAGTTTCTTGTCAAATAACATCTAAAATTTTATTTTCTGGTTATCTGCAGTGTTTTTTTGTTGTTGTTGTTTTTTTTTTGCGCATTATGAAAATGAATATTAAAAGATAAATTCAAAGATTTGTTTTGTGAGTTAGAAGGAAACATTTGGAAAATCATGAATCCAATTCCCTTAAATTTCAGCTGAACCTGGCACGCCTGTGGTGAAAAAATTCCATCAAATTCTGGAGGGTGTTGTGTTTGTCTTGAGTGGATTTCAGAACCCTTACAGAGGGGATCTAAGAGACAAAGCTTTAGAGATGGGAGCCAAGTACAGGCCTGACTGGGGCAGAGGATGCACACACTTGATGTAAGTAAACTGTCATATCATTGGTGGGCAGAGGATGTATACACTTGATGTAAGTAAACTGTCATTGGTGGGCAGAGGATGCACACACTTGATGTAAGTAAACTGTCATTGGTGGGGCAGAGGATGCACACACTTGATGTAAGTAAACTATCATCTCATTGGTGGGCAGAGGATGCATACACTTGATGTAAGTAAACTGTCATCTCATTGGTGGGCAGAGGATGCATACACTTGATGTAAGTAAACTGTCATCTCATTGGTGGGCAGAGGATGTATACACTTGATGTAAGTAAACTGTCATTGGTGGGCAGAGGATGCACACACTTGATGTAAGTAAACTGTCATTGGTGGGGCAGAGGATGCACACACTTGATGTAAGTAAACTGTCATTGGTGGGCAGAGGATGCACACACTTGATGTAAGTAAACTGTCATTGGTGGGCAGAGGATGCACACACTTGATGTAAGTAAACTGTCATATCATTGGTGGGCAGAGGTTGCACACACTTGATGTAAGTAAACTGTCATATCATTGGTGGGCAGAGGATGTATACACTTGATGTAAGTAAACTGTCATATCATTGGTGGGCAGAGGATGTATACACTTGATGTAAGTAAACTGTCATCTCATTGGTGGGCAGAGGATGTATACACTTGATGTAAGTAAACTATCATATCATTGGTGGGCAGAGGATGTATACACTTGATGTAAGTAAACTGTCATCTCATTGGTGGGCAGAGGATGTATACACTTGATGTAAGTAAACTGTCATCTCATTGGTGGGCAGAGGATGTATACACTTGATGTAAGTAAACTGTCATCTCATTGGTGGGCAGAGGATGTATACACTTGATGTAAGTAAACTGTCATCTCATTGGTGGGCAGAGGATGTATACACTTGATGTAAGTAAACTGTCATCTCATTGGTGGGCAGAGGATGTATACACTTGATGTAAGTAAACTGTCATATCATTGGTGGGCAGAGGATGTATACACTTGATGTAAGTAAACTGTCATCTCATTGGTGGGCAGAGGATGCATACACTTGATGTAAGTAAACTATCATTGGTGGGCAGAGGATGTATACACTTGATGTAAGTAAACTGTCATCTCATTGGTGGGCAGAGGATGTATACACTTGATGTAAGTAAACTGTCATATCATTGGTGGGCAGAGGATGTATACACTTGATGTAAGTAAACTGTCATCTCATTGGTGGGCAGAGGATGTATACACTTGATGTAAGTAAACTGTCATTGGTGGGCAGAGGATGCATACACTTGATGTAAGTAAACTGTCATCTCATTGGTGGGCAGAGGATGTATACACTTGATGTAAGTAAACTGTCATTGGTGGGCAGAGGATGCACACACTTGATGTAAGTAAACTGTCATTGGTGGGCAGAGGATGTATACACTTGATGTAAGTAAACTGTCATTGGTGGGCAGAGGATGTATACACTTGATGTAAGTAAACTGTCATATCATTGGTGGGCAGAGGATGTATACACTTGATGTAAGTAAACTATCATCTCATTGGTGGGCAGAGGATGCATACACTTGATGTAAGTAAACTATCATCTCATTGGTGGGCAGAGGATGCACACACTTGATGTAAGTAAACTGTCATTGGTGGGCAGAGGATGTATACACTTGATGTAAGTAAACTGTCATATCATTGGTGGGCAGAGGATGTATACACTTGATGTAAGTAAACTGTCATATCATTGGTGGGCAGAGGATGTATACACTTGATGTAAGTAAACTGTCATTGGTGGGGCAGAGGATGCACACACTTGATGTAAGTAAACTGTCATTGGTGGGCAGAGGATGTATACACTTGATGTAAGTAAACTGTCATATCATTGGTGGGCAGAGGATGCACACACTTGATGTAAGTAAACTGTCATATCATTGGTGGGCAGAGGATGTATACACTTGATGTAAGTAAACTGTCATTGGTGGGCAGAGGATGTATACACTTGATGTAAGTAAACTGTCATATCATTGGTGGGCAGAGGATGTATACACTTGATGTAAGTAAACTGTCATATCATTGGTGGGCAGAGGATGTATACACTTGATGTAAGTAAACTGTCATTGGTGGGCAGAGGATGTATACACTTGATGTAAGTAAACTGTCATTGGTGGGCAGAGGATGTATACACTTGATGTAAGTAAACTGTCATATCATTGGTGGGCAGAGGATGTATACACTTGATGTAAGTAAACTGTCATATCATTGGTGGGCAGAGGATGTATACACTTGATGTAAGTAAACTGTCATATCATTGGTGGGCAGAGGATGTATACACTTGATGTAAGTAAACTGTCATATCATTGGTGGGCAGAGGATGTATACACTTGATGTAAGTAAACTGTCATATCATTGGTGGGCAGAGGATGTATACACTTGATGTAAGTAAACTGTCATTGGTGGGCAGAGGATGTATACACTTGATGTAAGTAAACTATCATCTCATTGGTGGGCAGAGGATGTATACACTTGATGTAAGTAAACTGTCATATCATTGGTGGGCAGAGGATGTATACACTTGATGTAAGTAAACTATCATATCATCCAAGCTAGTTGGCATTATACTGATCTGTAACATCCAAGCTAGCTGGCATTATACTGATCTGTAACATCCAAGCTAGCTGGCATTATACTGATCTGTAACATCCAAGCTAGTTGGCATTATACTGATCTGTAACATCCAAGCTAGCTGGCATTATACTGATCTGTAACATCCAAGCTAGTTGGCATTATACTGATGTGTAACATCCAAGCTAGCTGGCATTATACTGATCTGTAACATCCAAGCTAGCTGGCATTATACTGATCTGTAACATCCAAGCTAGCTGGCATTATACTGATCTGTAACATCCAAGCTAGCTGGCATTATACTGATCTGTAACATCCAAGCTAGTTGGCATTATACTGATCTGTAACATCCAAGCTAGCTGGCATTATACTGATCTGTAACATCCAAGCTAACTGGCATTATACTGATCTGTAACATCCAAGCTAGCTGGCATTATACTGATCTGTAACATCCAAGCTAGCTGGCATTATACTGATCTGTAACATCCAAGCTAGTTGGCATTATACTGATCTGTAACATCCAAGCTAGTTGGCATTATACTGATGTGTAACATCCAAGCTAGCTGGCATTATACTGATCTGTAACATCCAAGCTAGCTGGCATTATACTGATCTGTAACATCCAAGCTAGCTGGCATTATACTGATCTGTAACATCCAAGCTAGCTGGCATTATACTGATCTGTAACATCCAAGCTAGCTGGCATTATACTGATCTGTAACTGTAAAAACTAACTGTAACTCTAACCTAAGATTTGTTTGAAGGAGTCAACCCTAAAAACCGATGGATCTAACCAATTGAACAAACTGATGAATCTAACCAATTGAAAAAACTGATGGGTCTAACCAATTGAAAAAGCTTTTTTTTAAAAAACTGTTGGTCTTTCCCAGATGTGCTTTCACCAACACCCCCAAGTATCAGCAAGTTTCAGGGAAAGGGAAGATTGTCACCAAAAGTTGGATTCTTGACTCGTATAAGCAGAAGAAAAAGATGCCATGGCGCAAGTATGTATACACTTATATGTTTGTACTGAGTCACACACTGCTGGCTGAGATGCCTGTATTATCACCCAGGCAATTCATTGGCTTTAACAAAACAAAAATTTAAGTAAAATTGTGTTTTTAAAAACATCTGCTAAAAGAAATCTGTTGATCTTACAGGTATTGTTTAGGGGATGCTGCTAAAAGAAATATGTTGATCTTGCAGGTATCTTTTTAGGGGATTTTGCTAAAAGAAATATGTTTATCTTACAGGTATCGTTTAGGGGATGCTGCTTCACCCCCAGACAGCTCTGATGAAGAGGTCAACACAAAAAAGAATGACAAAACTGTAGACACAACAGCCAAGCCACTAGGGACCAATGCACAACAAAGTAAATTGTTTCAATCAGGATCAATGCGCTAAAACTCGTCTTAATCAGTCCAGTGTTTCTTAACATTATAAATTCAACTAAAATTTATTTAACTGTTGTTTCTTTACCATATTATGCAATTTATTTAAATTTTTAATCCATTTTTATTTCTTGATGAATAATTCTGTAATTTGCTTGGTGATAGTTAAACTTGACTTGTCATTTTCTTCTATCAAGAAACAGGAACTTCATTTGTTGATTCAGGAGGTGACACAGATGATGAGCAGGGCAGGTTAGTTTCAACAGATGTTGTAGGCCCCACTCTCAGGTGTTGTAGGCCCCACTCTCAGGTGTTGTAGGCCCCACTCTCTCAGGTGTTGTAGGCCCCACTCTCAGGTGTTGTAGGCCCCACTCTCAGGTGTTGTAGGCCCCACTCTGTTGTAGGCCCCACTCTCTCAGGTGTTGTAGGCCCCCACTCTCTCAGGTGTTGTAGGCCCCACTCTCTCAGGTGTTGTAGGCCCCACTCTCTCAGGTGTTGTAGGCCCCACTCTCAGGTGTTGTAGGCCCCCACTCTCTCAGGTGTTGTAGGCCCCACTCTCTCAAGTGTTGTAGGCCCCACTCTCAGGTGTTGTAGGCCCCACTCTCAGGTGTTGTAGGCCCCCACTCTCTCAAGTGTTGTAGGCCCCACTCTCAGGTGTTGTAGGCCCCACTCTCAGGTGTTGTAGGCCCCACTCTGTTGTAGGCCCCACTCTCAGGTGTTGTAGGCCCCACTCTCAGGTGTTGTAGGCCCCCACTCTCTCAAGTGTTGTAGGCCCCACTCTCAGGTGTTGTAGGCCCCACTCTCAGGTGTTGTAGGCCCCACTCTGTTGTAGGCCCCACTCTCTCAGGTGTTGTAGGCCCCACTCTCAGGTGTTGTAGGCCCCCACTCTCTCAAGTGTTGTAGGCCCCACTCTCAGGTGTTGTAGGCCCCACTCTCAGGTGTTGTAGGCCCCACTCTGTTGTAGGCCCCCACTCTGTTGTAGGCCCCCACTCTCAGGTGTTGTAGGCCCCACTCTCTCAGGTGTTGTAGTCCCCCACTCTCTCAGGTGTTGTAGGCCCCCACTCTGTTGTAGGCCCCACTCTCAGGTGTTGTAGGCCCCACTCTCTCAGGTGTTGTAGTCCCCACTCTCTCAGGTGTTGTAGGCCCCACTCTCTCAGGTGTTGTAGGCCCCACTCTCAGGTGTTGTAGGCCCCACTCTCAGGTGTTGTAGGCCCCACTCTCTCAGGTGTTGTAGGCCCCACTCTCAGGTGTTGTAGGCCCCACTCTCAGGTGTTGTAGGCCCCACTCTGTTGTAGGCCCCACTCTCTCAGGTGTTGTAGGCCCCCACTCTCTCAAGTGTTGTAGGCCCCACTCTCTCAGGTGTTGTAGGCCCCACTCTCTCAGGTGTTGTAGGCCCCACTCTCTCAGGTGTTGTAGTCCCCCACTCTCTCAGGTGTTGTAGGCCCCACTCTGTTGTAGGCCTCCACTCTCTCAGGTGTTGTAGTCCCCCACTCTCTCAGGTGTTGTAGGCCCCACTCTGTTGTAGGCCTCCACTCTCTCAGGTGTTGTAGGCCCCACTCTCTCAGGTGTTGTAGGCCCCACTCTCTCAGGTGTTGTAGGCCCCACTCTCAGGTGTTGTAGGCCCCACTCTCTCAGGTGTTGTAGTCCCCCACTCTCTCAGGTGTTGTAGGCCCCACTCTCTCAGGTGTTGTAGGCCCCACTCTGTTGTAGGCCCCACTCTCAGGTGTTGTAGGCCCCACTATCTCAGGTGTTGTAGTCCCCCACTCTCTCAGGTGTTGTAGGCCCCACTCTATCAGGTGTTGTAGGCCCCACTCTATCAGGTGTTGTATATATATATATATATATATATATATATATATATATATATATATATATATATATATATATATATATATACATAATATATATATACATAATATATATATATATATATATACATAATATATATATATATATATATATATATATATATATATATATATATATATATATATATATATATATATATATATATATATATACATAATATATATATACATAATATATATATACATAATATATATATATATATATATACATAATATATATATACATATACATATATATATATATATACATATATATAATTTTTTCGGTGGGGTGGGGGACACAAGTGGCTAAGCATAGTGCTGACTGTACTCTCCCCTTGTATGCCAAGGTCATTGCAACAGATGAACTCTATGTCATCTGCCTTGTGTGTACTGTAATGGGCACCTACAGGAAAAAGATGATTCAGTTTGCAATTTCTCTCTGTTTGGTGCACATCTTGTTACTCAATTTTTACCCACTTCTATTACATATAATGCAGCAATTTCATTTAAACTTTCTAGATGTGTTCATCTAAAATTAATATGCAAGAATATCTCATTTTTTAAATCTTTTAGACATAGCTAAATTATTTCAAAATGCAATATAAAAGGGGAGATAAAAAATACTAGTGATTGCTAAGTCAGCTATCTGACCATACTGAACTGATTTTCACTGCTTGTTGATTTTTTTGTCCCACTGTGGACTAAATAGAGATTGAAAGCTACTCATAGGTTTAGCCAGCTACTCATAGGTTTTGCAAGTTACTCATAGGTTTTGCAAGCTACTCATAGGTTTTGCAAGTTACTCATAGGTTTTGCAAGCTACTCATAGGTTTTGCAAGTTACTCATAGGTTTTGCAAGCTACTCATAGGTTTTGCAAGTTACTCATAGGTTTTGCAAGCTACTCATAGGCTTTGCAAGCTACTCATAGGTTTTGCAAGCTGCTCATAGGTTTTGCAAGCTGCTCATAGGTTTTGCAAGCTGCTCATAGGTTTTGCAAGCTGCTCGTAGGTTTTGCAAGCTGCTCATAGGTTTTGCAAGCTGCTCGTAGGTTTTGCAAGCTACTCATAGGTTTTGCAAGCTACTCATAGGTTTTAGCATAAATATTTTCAATCGTAACCTATGGTGTGTCAACTTCACTTTGAACCAAATGACTAAAATGTGGAAAATAAAACATAAAAAACTTTATAAAAATAAGCTTAAATGCGCTAAAAATAAAGCAAAGGTTTTGGTCACTTAAATATATAAGAGACCTCATGAGCAACCACAGCTTTTATTAATGAAAGCTAGTTAGTTTTATTTTATTTTTTCTGTGCATTTAAAAGGTTATCATTACAAAAGATATTACTATTATTTACATTGAAAAGTGTCACTATTATTAAAATGTTATATCCTTTATTTTTTGTGTAGATCAAATGAGAGAAAGACTTCCAGCCCAGGAAGTGAAGCCTCCAGCAGACAGCAGGACGTGTATGGCTGCTCTACAGATGAAGATGACATCAAGGACAGGACCAGTTCTCCTGACAGCGCAGACTCTGGTCTGCCTGACCTCCCAGACTTTTTCACTGACAAACATTTTTTCTTGTACGGAGATATTGAGGCCACAGAGCTGAGGCTCCTGACTAGATATATTGCTGCTTACAATGGGTTAGTCCTTCCTTTCAAATAGGTTGCATATTTTTATTTACAGTGAAGCTTGTGTAGGCATAAGTTGTTTTTTCTTTCTGGTGTTAAAAGCTAGTAGAAGAGTCTTACTGGTGAAAATGTATGTCTTAGCACCATAAATAATGTATGTATGTCTTAGCACCATAAATTGTGTCTGTATGACCCAGCACCATAAACTTTAACTGACATAACGACTGAATTTTCCTGAACCTTCCAGTGAGGTAGAAGACTACATGAACAAAAAAGTTAACTATGTCATTACATCCAAGAAATGGGACGAGAACTTCAACATGGTAAGAGAGATTCATTTTTCTGCTCCTGGTAATACCTGTCATATTTTCAGTTTTTATTTGAATCATTTGAACCATGTTGTTACAGACATATTACATGCTAAATAGGTGTTGGCGTGGTTCAGTCGGTGAAGCTCATGGTTGCTAAACTGAAAAGTATCGAGTTCGAACCCTTGGGCAGATGAGGCTCTTTAGCTGGGGACAGCCGCTCTTCTAGAAGAGACAACTCCAAAATCAAACAACTGCTGCCTTGTAGTTTGTTCTTGGTTTGACAAAAGCTATGGAAGCAAATCCAAAAAGAAAAGCAGGCTGAAATCGGAGTCAATGGCCTCAATGGCATACAACCAGTTGACATGTATACTTAATTGTGTTGGAAGGGATCCCTTCCAACACTAAAATTAAGAATGAAGAAGAAGAAGACCTGCTAAAGTATTTTAACAATTTTTATCAATATTTATCTAGGCCAAGTCTGAGAACCCCCAAGTAATTTTTGTGAAACCCGAATGGATTTTGGCCTGTCATGAGAAGGGTGTATTGCTGCCTCACCAGTCCTTTGGTGTTGCTCCATAGGGCCTTACATCTGTCCTTACACATTACACTCCACCTGTGATTTACATCTGTCCTTACACATTACACTCCACCTGTGATTTACATCTGTAAATACACATTACTGATGTAACCCGCCTTTCCATACCTCAGTTTGCCATTATGAGTCATCCCTTGATGATGTCCACACAGAAGGGTTAGGGCTTCTGAAAAAAAGATTTACTTCTAGTGCTTTTAACTTTGGCAGTTTGGATGAAATTCAAGTCCATGTAGTGAATTTTAACAATTTACATGGATAATCTATAGTAAACACAACACTATCTTACATAGAAAACAAGTCAAATCAAATTAACAATTTACATGGATTTTCTATAGTAAACAAGACATTTTATCTTATATAGAAAACAAGTCTAACCAAACTGCAGCATTGTGTTCAAATGGAAAACACAGCTCAATGGGTAACAAAAGATTCAAATCTATCTCCATGGTAACTAGCAGTAAATAAAATCAGTAAAAGGGTCATGAACTCTTTGTGCCAATAAGACTCATTTAATGTAGATCAACAACAAGAAGTAATTTCTTGGCAAACATTATTTCCATGAGACTCTGCATCAGTTTATGATTGCAACTGCAGGTAATTAATAAAATAAAAGTAGTATACAACAGACAACATTTATTCATTAAAATCATATTTTTCTCAACACATTCTCGATTCTTTTTTTTTTTTGATAATTTAATAGCAGTAACTTTACAAAAAGAATAAACCACTATACATGTTATGAACATGTATAATACTTGTTATACAGTTAATGGAAGTAAGTGTTCATAGATTTTTTAATGGCCACAACAGTGGGTGGGGGCTTATCATTTAGGACAGGGGTCTCCAAACTTTTCAGTCAGAGGGCCGCATTAACCATCAAATTTCAGTTCGTAGGCTAGTTTCTTCCAAAAAAAGACAAAAAGATCTCAGCGGGCCGGATGAGAGGACATCGCGTGCCGCATACGGCCCGCAGTTTGGAGATCCCCGATTTAGGACATCACAAAAGGACAACCACTAACACATGTACAAACTTTTAAAAAATCTCTTTGGGTGCTGAATGTACTGTGAAAATGTCTCATTGTTAAGAAAAAAACTCTTGGGTGCTGAATGTACTGTGAAAATGTCTCATTATGGAGAAAACCAAAGCTGTTGGATTAGATCTGTAGATATTTTTAGACCAATTTTGTTTTTGTACAAATAAAAGATAACTGAAACAACAGTGTTCTGTGTGTTATATTTCTGCACAATAATCTCAGTTTAAACAACAACTGATATCGTTGAAGTGGGTTACACAGTGTGTAGATTAGACCTTATCACCCCCCCCCCCCAGCCAGTTAACCTCTGCCCCTGGGGTTAGGGTTATATATTTATTTACAGTCTTCAGCTCTGTTCCCTGACATTAAATTAGAGATGTCCAAACTACTGCTGACCCCTCCTATACATGCAGTTCTCCCTCTCTGTACAGTATGCAGTGTTTCTTTTAGACATTTTTCTCCTGGGGGGGGGGGGGGGGGCGCTTGAAACAAATCGCCACCCCACCCAAAAAAAATACCTGAAAGAAAGAATGACGTTAGTCAGTCTTCAGTGAGAGGTGTATGACAAATTGTATCAGTCTAACTAAGTTGTCCATAAATTTATAAGAGTCACATATGGACGCTTTCCTACAATATAAGCCTGATAATTGTGATAATGTAGTAAACTCCTGTGTTATTTCTTGACTAGGTCTAGTACAATATCAAGTGGAGTGTCATAGATAAGGATAAAGAAGACTTGGTTAAACATTCACTTCATAAAGGTCAAGTCTCTAGTTCGACCACATAATATATAGGCTTATATATCAGTTGTTTTTTAATGGGGTCTTGGATCGTTATCAGAGTAAGGTAAAGCCACCTGCTTTTTTTTAAAAAAATGTAGGCCCCCTATATTCTAAAATAAAAATTTATTTTATACTTAATCTATTGACTTAAGTTACGAATCGGATCTAGAGTCTCTATATTCATATAAATATATTTAAATATGTCTATATATTTATATATTATTAGGCTACTACTAGTATACAGAGTAGGGCCTATAGAAGAAGTATTGTAATCGTGCATTGATATTTTGTCAGTTTTCGCTGTTTTACAGTTCCCTACTTTATCATTTACGGAACATTGTAATCGTGCAAAAAAAAAAAATATAAACAGATTTTGACAAACTTTGATGGTTTACATTCTGTATGTCTGTAAACATGATTATTTGAGTACCATTTCAGTAATGTGTAAAAATTTCCATATATATAAGTATTAAACCAATTTGTAGATCTGTATCAACTTTTGAGCGATTTCGACAAACCGGGAGTGGTACACACTTTAATCAAAGGCCAGTATGTAGACTGCCTTTTAAGTAAGGTAAACGAAATTTCCTATAGGCCCATAATTATTAAATTGTTTTAACGGTTTCCGGATGTGGTAGTAAAGTCTCCTGACATATTGGCTCCAGACAAATGAATCGTATGACCACTATTGGGTTAAAATTTAAAAGTAACCATTTGACCTACCCCCACTACCATTTTAGCCTCTTTTAAATGCCTGAATGAAATTGTTTTTCCTGAACCAATGTAAATTCACAAACATATCGAGCCCTAAACAGCTAAATTCCACCAGTTCTAACATTTTGATAATGTTTAATTTACAATAGTAAAGATCTGTTGCTTAAAAGCGAGCACAGAAGTGTAAATGTATGATGTTTATTCTTATCCACACAATTGGAGATAGGCTCAACGATTCTGTCGTTGAGATGATCCGCTTGGGGTGCGTTGTATTACTTAAGAGTGGTGGATAAGGTAACTCTAAAGAATATTGATGAAGGGGTCCCACTGGCAGGTGTCATATTCATTGAGACCGTTTTGCCGGTTGACTTTGTACAGAAACCGTATTGTCAGTGGTCCTTTAGTCGGGAGCCAAATTGACAGGAGCCTATTCGTCGGGAGTCGTAACGACGAAAGTCTATTTGTCGGGGTCCATATGTCGCTGGCCCTTTTGACGGGGCTCTTATGTCGGGGCCGATTTGTTGGGGTCGTTTGACGCCATGCCACCAACTGTTTTTAAATAATAATATACGAGAACGTTTAGGGGAGATGACTCCCGCTTTATTCATATCTGAAACTGAAAGTCGTATATTTTAAGAGTAGCATCCCTTAGCACCGTCAATAGTAGGTATGGTTGTGTATGTAAACATCAGTAAACACTTAACACCACTACAATTGTTTTTTTTTTTTCATTTATTGTAAAAACAAAATATTTATTTTTTTAAATTAGCATCTAGATCTAGCTGCTATTTTTTATTATCTCTTATATAATTAATATATTCTATATTCTTTTATATTTTATACTGATCTTCATTTAAAATTTTTTTTAGCAAGCACTTAAAAGTAAAACTAAAATAAACCAAGTGAAGTTATAAGTTACAGATAGATATCTAGTATATAGAAGTCTAGATCTAGGCCTACTAGTACTAGGCTAACTAATAGTAATTAGTAATTAGTCTAGTACTTGCACTAGGGGCACATTTGCTGTATTCTTATAAATTTAATAAATGCAAATTGCCCCTAACACAAATTACAAGCAGTAAGCCTAGTACTAGTAGTAGAATCTAGATCTAGTACTAGATCTAGTACTAGTACTTTTATTGCTTGCTAAAATTTTAAAATGAAGAAAATTAGATTCTAGTTTAAAAGAATATATTATTTGACTTATTATTGAAGCTCATAATAATATTTGATTAGCTTTGAGCAACATATTCAGTAATTTACTGTTTATATAATATATTACTTGTGTTATCCTTTAACTATTTGAAGCTACATCTTGAGCAATTTGCAGTTTCTTATTAATCATTGAAGCTGAATCTTGAGTGAGCAAACGTCTGACAGACGCTAAATATCTTAAGAAGACAGAATGATTCTCCAGTGGATTCTGGTTCTCACAACTGCCGTGCTTGTCCATTCTGGACAGATAGTTCATGCTCCTTCTGGAACTTTTCAAGGAACTTTCTGGAAGACCAAGCATGATATCACCCATAATGCCTTTCTAGGTATACCTTATGCCAAGCCACCTGTTGGGGAGCGTAGATTCAAACCACCTGAGATGATACCACCTTTAGGTAAGAACAAACCACCTTAAGATCTAGGTAAGAAATTGAATCCAAACCCCATAATATTGGCTAACATCATTGTTTGGTGTACATAAAACAAGTTTAAAATGGTATTTTAAAATGTCTGACTTGACAGAAATGTTATTTTAAAATGTCTGATTTGACACCCCCAGAAGGTGTGTATGATGCGACAGAATTTAAAGCCTTCTGCATCCAGATAAACCTTCTACCCCCAATGCATGGGCTGGGCCCAGGGGAGGAGGACTGTCTGTATCTCAACATTTTCTCACCAGAGTCAGCAGACGCAGCTGCTGGAGATTTAAAATCAGTACTGACATTTTCCCACAACTTTTGAATCTCACTTATCATTTAGATGTGTTTAGTTTTGTGTAGCTACTAAAGTTTGTCGCTGAAGTTAGTTGAGGATTGCCTGTTGTAATTGTTAAATTTGAAAGTTGAAGTGTTTATTATAATTGTAAAATTTGTTTACAGGTGTTTGTGTTCTTCCATGGAGGTGGAAATTTCAATGGTCAAGCCAACATTTACAACCCTGGTCAGCTGGTGACAACCCAAGACATCATTGTGGTGACTGTCGGCTACCGGCTGGGCTACCTCGGCTTCTTGAGTACCCTGAGCCCTGGGTGTGAGGGGAACTTTGGCCTCAAGGATCAGATCCTCTCAGTGGCCTGGGTCAAGGAGAATATTCAGGCGTTTGGTGGGGACCCTGGTAGCATTACAGTAAGTTTTGGGGGGGGGGGACCCTGGTAGCATTACAGTAAGTTATGGTTGGGGGGGGGGGCGTTTGGTGGGGACCCTGGTAGCATTACAGTAAGTTTTGGGGGGGGGACCCTGGTAGCATTACACTAATTACAGTAAGTTTGGGTGGGTGGGGACCCTGGTAGCATTACAGTAAGTTGGGGGGAGATTTGGTGGGGACCCTGGTAGCATTACTGTAAGTTTTGGTTGGGTGGGGACCCTGGTAGCATTACAGTAAGTTGGGGGGAGATTTGGTGGGGACCCTGGTAGCATTACTGTAAGTTTTGGTTGGGTGGGGACCCTGGTAGCATTACAGTAAGTTGGGGGGAGATTTGGTGGGGACCCTGGTAGCATTACAGTAAGTTATGGTTGGGTGGGGACCCTGGTAGCATTACAGTAAGTTGGGGGGAGATTTGGTGGGGACCCTGGTAGCATTACTGTAAGTTTTGGTTGGGTGGGGACCCTGGTAGCATTACACTAATTACTGTAAGTTTTGGTTGGGTGGGGACCCTGGTAGCATTACACTAATTACAGTAAGTTTGGGTGGGTGGGGACCCTGGTAGCATTACACTAATTACTGTAAGTTTTGGTTGGGTGGGGACCCTGGTAGCATTACACTAATTACAGTAAGTTTTGGTTGGGTGGGGACCCTGGTAGCATTACACTAATTACAGTAAGTTTGGGTGGGTGGGGACCCTGGTAGCATTACACTAATTACAGTAAGTTTTGGTTGGGTGGGGACCCTGGTAGCATTACACTAATTACAGTAAGTTTGGGTGGGTGGGGACCCTGGTAGCATTACAGAAAGTTTGGGTGGGTGGGGGGATTCGGTGGGGACCCTGGTAGCATTACAGTAAGTTTGGGTGGGTTGGGGGATTCGGTGGGGACCCTGGTAGCATTACACTAATTACAGTAAGTTTGGGTGGGTGGGGACCCTGGTAGCATTACAGTAAGTTTGGGTGGGTGGGGGGATTCGGTGGGGACCCTGGTAGCATTACAGTAAGTTTGGGTGGGTGGGGGGATTCGGTGGGGACCCTGGTAGCATTACAGTAAGTTTTGGTTGGGTGGGGACCCTGGTAGCATTACAGTAAGTTTGGGTGGGGGGGGGGGGGGGGTGGCATTTGGTGGGGACCCTGGAAGTGTCACAGTAAGTTTAACTGGGAGGGGGTATAATGTTGCGCGCTTGGAAAAAAATTTCCTCTCATAACTTCAGATTGGTGGAGAATCAGCAGGCGCCATTGATGTGTCATTCCTTACAATAGCTTCAGGGACCAGAAATTTGTTTGCCAGGGCATTTTCTATGAGTGGATTAACAGGGGTTCAGCACCCATTTATAGTTCGTAATGCCAAGTCTACCGCCATTAAGGTAGGGAGACAAGCTGAGTGTCTTAAGGAAGGTCAGCCTGACCCAACTAGTGATGAGGATTTTGACAGGCTGGTGCAGTGTCTGCGTGAGGTGCCTGCCACAGTGTTTGGGATTGAGTATACTCCGGCTGTTCCAGAATTAGGGCCAGTAGAGTATGGAGACTTGTTCCCCAAGAAAATTGAAGATCTTTTCAATGATGAAAGCTACTTACACTCTTTAAACTTTTTTGAAAGAGATTACTTAATTGGTTTTGACTATAACGAGGGAGATATATTCACAGTGATGAACAATGAGGTGGAGAAATCTCTCCCTGAGGATGTAAGAAAAAATCTACCGCCCAACGGAATGTTCCGTGGCACAGTGACCCATTTTCTGAGTTCAAAGTTTGGGCCAGTTAGTGAAACGGTGGTCAGTAATGTCATAGACTACTACAGCAGCAGCTACGAGGTCAGTCCACTGGCAGACTTTGCAGCAGACGCCATCTTTCACATCCCAACGTTTGAGTGGGCCTCAGCCGCCACTCGTGGACTAGCTATGGAAGACAGTAAGGCAAGTCTTTGTTGTTTTATGAGGTGTTGTTTTATCAGTTTCTTCCAGGCATCGAGATGAATTTTATATAGTAAACATACACTTTTACTAGTGTCCTGTGTCTGTCCCCCGAAAAATTTTGACCCCCCCGGAAAATTTCAAGTGCCTCCCTGGAGAAAAACAGCTGGAAAAAACACTGTGTTTTATGAGATGTTGTGTTATGTGTTGTGTTCTGATGTGTTGTACTGTGATTTGATCTCATGTGTTGTCACTATGTTTTGTCTGATCCACCAAGTGTTTATCTTGGCTGTAAGGGTTTGGTCTGAGGTGTCATCAAATGTCTGTCATCAAATGTCATCTGCAGGTTCACATGTTTAGGTTTGTTCACTGGCCCAAGTTCATGGCCGGCCCATACAAGGGGATGATTCATGGCACTGACCTGCTCTATTTGTTTGACCTTGACCCAGATTTTTTGAAAAAGATTATTGACTTGCATGTGAGTTTTTAATTATTGTAGAGGAAGTTTTTAATTCATTCAAATAATATATGAATTTTTTTTCAAATTTAGTGTTCAATTAAAAAAACTATTTCACGTGTTAGTGTTGCTGTGTTCTGTTATAAGAAACTGTTTCACAAGGTGTTGCTGTGTTTTGTTATGAAAAACTGTTTCACATGGTGTTGCTGTGTTTTGTTATGAAAAACTGTTTCACATGTTGGTGTTGCTGTGTTTTGTTATGAAAAACTGTTTCACATGTTGGTGTTGCTATGTTCTGTTATGAAAAACTGTTTCACATGTTGGTGTTGCTGTGTTCTGTTATGAAAAACTGTTTCACATGTTGGTGTTGCTGTGTTCTGTTATGAAAAACTGTTTCACATGTTGGTGTTGCTGTGTTCTGCAGATCAATGGCAGTCTGTGGGGGGAAGAGGATGACTACTTGAAGGAAAAGTACATCTCTATGGTCGCAGACTTCATCAAAACAGGGTAACATCAGCGTGTCTAAATCTAAAGGAGGTTGATGTTGGGGGCCAGTTTTTTATGTCGGGGGCAAGTGTTTGATGCTGTGGCCAGTGTTTGATGTTGTGGCCAGTGTTTGATGTTGTGGCCAGTGTTTGATGCTGTAGCCAGTGTTGTTATGGCCAATGTTTGATGCTGTGGCCAGTGTTTGATGTTGTGGCCTGTGTTTGATGTTGTGGCCAGTGTTTGATGTTGTGGCCTGTGTTTGATGTTGTGGCCAGTGTTTGATGCTGTGGCCAGTGTTTGATGTTGTGGCCTGTGTTTGATGTTGTGGCCAGTGTTTGATGCTGTGGCCAGTGTTTGATGCTGTGGCCAGTGTTTGATGTTGTGGCCTGTGTTTGATGTTGTGGCCAGTGTTTGATGTTGTGGCCAGTGTTTGATGCTGTGGCCAGTGTTTGATGCTGTGGCCAGTGTTTGATGCTGTGGCCAGTGTTTGATGTTGTGGCCAGTGTTTGATGTTGTGGCCAGTGTTTGATGATGTGGCCTGTGTTTGATGCTGTGGCCAGTGTTTGATGTTGTGGCCAGTGTTTGATGTTGTGGCCAGTGTTTGATGTTGTGGCCAGTGTTTGATGTTGTGGCCTGTGTTTGATGCTATGGCCAGTGTTGTTATGGCCAGTGTTTGATGTTGTGGGTGGCCTGTGTTTGCTGTTGTGGCCAGTGTTTGCTGTTGTGGCCAGTGTTTGATGCTGTGGCCAGTGTTTGATGCTGTGGCCAGTGTTGTTATGGCCAGTGTTTGATGTTGTGGGTGGCCTGTGTTTGCTGTTGTGGCCAGTGTTTGATGCTGTGGCCAGTGTTGTTATGGCCAGTGTTTGATGTTGTGGGTGGCCTGTGTTTGCTGTTGTGGCCAGTGTTTGATGCTGTGGCCAGTGTTGTTATGGCCAGTGTTTGATGTTGTGGCCTGTGTTTGATGTTGTGGCCAGTGTTTGATGTTGTGGCCAGTGTTTGATGTTGTGGCCAGTGTTTGATGTTGTGGCCAGTGTTTGATGTTGTGGCCAGTGTTTGATGCTGTAGCCAGTGTTGTTATGGCCAATGTTTGATGCTGTGGCCTGTGTTTGATGTTGTGGCCAGTGTTTGATGTTGTGGCCAGTGTTTGATGTTGTGGCCAGTGTTTGATGCTGTGGCCTGTGTTTGATGTTGTGGCCTGTGTTTGATGTTGTGGCCAGTGTTTGATGCTGTGGCCAGTGTTTGATGTTGTGGCCTGTGTTTGATGCTGTGGCCAATGTTTGATGCTGTGGCCAGTGTTTGATGCTGTGGCCTGTGTTTGATGTTGTGGCCTGTGTTTGATGTTGTGGCCAGTGTTTGATGCTGTGGCCAGTGTTTGATGTTGTGGCCTGTGTTTGATGCTGTGGCCAATGTTTGATGTTGTGGCCAGTGTTTGATGTTGTGGCCAGTGTTTGATGTTGTGGCCTGTGTTTGATGTTGTGGCCAGTGTTTGATGCTGTGGCCAGTGTTGTTATGGCCAATGTTTGATGCTGTGGCCTGTGTTTGATGTTGTGGCCAGTGTTTGATGTTGTGGCCAGTGTTTGATGTTGTGGCCAGTGTTTGATGCTGTGGCCAGTGTTTGATGTTGTGGCCAGTGTTTGATGCTGTAGCCAGTGTTGTTATGGCCAATGTTTGATGCTGTGGCCAGTGTTGTGTTGTTTGATGTTGTGGCCTGTGTTTGATGTTGTGGCCTGTGTTTGATGTTGTGGCCAGTGTTTGATGCTGTGGCCAGTGTTGTGGCCAATGTTTGATGCTGTGGCCAGTGTTTGATGTTGTGGCCTGTGTTTGATGTTGTGGCCAGTGTTTGATGTTGTAGCCAGTGTTTGATGTTGTGGCAAGTGTTTGATGTTGTGGCCAGTGTTTGATGTTGTGGCCAGTGTTGTGTTGTTTGATGTTGTGGCCAGTGTTTGATGCTGTGGCCAGTGTTTGATGTTGTGGCCAGTGTTGTTATGGCCAGTGTTTGATGTTGTGGCCAGTGTTTGATGCTGTGGCCAGTGTTTGATGTTGTGGCCAGTGTTGTTATGGCCAGTGTTGTTACGGCCAGTGTTTGATGTTGTGGCCAGTGTTTGATGTTGTGGCCAGTGTTTGATGTTGTGGCCAGTGTTTGATGCTGTAGCCAGTGTTGTTATGGCCAGTGTTTGATGTTGTGGCCAGTTTGATGTTGTGGCCAGTGTTTGATGTTGTGGCCAGTGTTTGATGCTGTGGCGAGTGTTTGATGGCCAGTGTTTGATGTTGTGGCCTGTGTTTGATGCTGTGGCCAGTGTTTGATGTTGTGGCCAGTGTTTGATGATGTGGCCTGTGTTTGATGTTGTGGCCAGTGTTTGATGTTGTGGCCAGTGTTTGATGCTGTGGCCTGTGTTTGATGCTGTGGCCAGTGTTTGATGCTGTGGCCTGTGTTTGATGCTGTGGCCAGTGCTTGATGATGTGGCCTGTGTTTGATGCTGTGGCCAGTGTTTGATGTTGTGGCCAGTGTTTGATGCTGTGGCCAGTGTTTGATGCTGTGGCCAGTGTTTGATGCTGTGGCCAGTGTTTGATGTTGTGGCCAGTGTTTGATGATGTGGCCTGTGTTTGATGCTGTGGCCAGTGTTTGATGTTGTGGCCAGTGTTTGATGTTGTGGCCTGTGTTTGATGTTGTGGCCAGTGTTTGATGCTGTGGCCAGTGTTGTTATGGCCAGTGTTTGATGTTGTGGGTGGCCAGTGTTTGCTGTTGTGGCCAGTGTTTGATGCTGTGGCCAGTGTTGTTATGGCCAGTGTTTGATGTTGTGGGTGGCCAGTGTTTGCTGTTGTGGCCAGTGTTTGATGCTGTGGCCAGTGTTGTTATGGCCAGTGTTTGATGTTGTGGCCAGTGTTTGATGTTGTGGCCTGTGTTTGATGTTGTGGCCAGTGTTTGATGTTGTGGCCAGTGTTTGATGTTGTGGCCAGTGTTTGATGTTGTGGCCAGTGTTTGATGCTATGGCCAGTGTTTGATGCTGTGGCCAGTGTTTGATGTTGTGGCCTGTGTTTGATGTTGTGGCCAGTGTTTGATGTTGTGGCCAGTGTTGTTATGGCCAGTGTTTGATGTTGTGGCCAGTGTTTGATGTTGTGGCCAGTGTTGTTATGGCCAGTGTTTGATGTTGTGGCCAGTGTTTGATATTGTGGCCAGTGTTGTTATGGCCAGTGTTTGATGTTGTGGCCAGTGTTTGATGATGTGGCCTGTGTTTGATGTTGTGGCCAGTGTTGTTATGGCCAGTGTTTGATGTTGTGGCCAGTGTTTGATATTGTGGCCAGTGTTGTTATGGCCAGTGTTTGATGTTGTGGCCAGTGTTTGATGATGTGGCCTGTGTTTGGTGTTGTGGCCAGTGTTTGATGTTGTGGCCTGTGTTTGATGTTGTGGCCAGTGTTTGATGTTGTGGCCAGTGTTTGATGTTGTGGCCAGTGTTTGATGTTGTGGCCTGTGTTTGATGTTGTGGCCTGTGTTTGATGTTGTGGCCAGTGTTTGATGCTATGGCCAGTGTTTGATGCTGTGGCCAGTGTTTGATGTTGTGGCCTGTGTTTGATGTTGTGGCCAGTGTTTGATGCTGTGGCCTGTGTTTGATGTTGTGGCCTGTGTTTGATGTTGTGGCCAGTGTTTGATGCTGTGGCCAGTGTTGTTATGGCCAGTGTTTGATGTTGTGGGTGGCCTGTGTTTGCTGTTGTGGCCAGTGTTTGATGCTGTGGCCAGTGTTGTTATGGCCAGTGTTTGATGTTGTGGCCTGTGTTTGATGTTGTGGCCAGTGTTTGATGTTGTGGCCAGTGTTTGATGTTGTGGCCAGTGTTTGATGCTGTGGCCAGTGTTTGATGTTGTGGCCAGTGTTTGATGCTGTGGCCAATGTTTGATGCTGTGGCCAGTGTTTGATGATGTGGCCTGTGTTTGATGCTATGGCCAGTGTTGTTATGGCCAGTGTTTGATGTTGTGGCCTGTGTTTGATGTTGTGGCCAGTGTTTGATGTTGTGGCCAGTGTTTGATGTTGTGGCCAGTGTTTGATGCTGTGGCCAGTGTTTGATGTTGTGGCCAGTGTTTGATGCTGTGGCCAATGTTTGATGCTGTGGCCTGTGTTTGATGTTGTGGCCAGTGTTTGATGCTGTGGCCAGTGTTTGATGCTGTGGCCAGTGTTTGATGTTGTGGCCAGTGTTTGATGCTGTGGCCAATGTTTGATGCTGTGGCCTGTGTTTGATGTTGTGGCCAGTGTTTGATGTTGTGGCCAGTGTTTGATGCTGTGGCCAGTGTTTGATGCTGTGGCCAGTGTTTGATGTTGTGGCCAGTGTTTGATGCTGTGGCCTGTGTTTGATGTTGTGGCCAGTGTTTGATGTTGTGGCCAGTGTTGTTATGGCCAGTGTTTGATGTTGTGGCCAGTGTTTGATGTTGTGGCCAGTGTTGTTATGGCCAGTGTTTGATGTTGTGGCCAGTGTTTGATGTTGTGGCCAGTGTTTGATATTGTGGCCAGTGTTGTTATGGCCAGTGTTTGATGTTGTGGCCAGTGTTTGATGATGTGGCCTGTGTTTGATGTTGTGGCCAGTGTTTGATGTTGTGGCCAGTGTTTGATGCTGTGGCCTGTGTTTGATGTTGTGGCCTGTGTTTGATGCTGTGGCCTGTGTTTGATGTTGTGGCCAGTGTTTGATGTTGTGGCCAGTGTTGTTATGGCCAGTGTTTGATGTTGTGGCCAGTGTTTGATGTTGTGGCCAGTGTTGTTATGGCCAGTGTTTGATGTTGTGGCCAGTGTTTGATGTTGTGGCCAGTGTTTGATGTTGTGGCCAGTGTTTGATGTTGTGGCCAGTGTTTGATGCTGTGGCCAGTGTTTGATGCTGTGGCCAGTGTTTGATGTTGTGGCCAGTGTTTGATGTTGTGGCCAGTGTTTGATGTTGTGGCCAGTGTTTGATGTTGTGGCCAGTGTTGTTATGGCCAGTGTTTGATGTTGTGGCCAGTGTTTGATGCTGTGGCCAGTGTTGTGGCCAGTGTTTGTTGTTATGGCCTGTGTTTGATGTTGTGGCCTGTGTTTGATGTTGTGGCCAGTGTTTGATGTTGTGGCCAGTGTTGTTATGGCCAGTGTTTGATGTTGTGGCCAGTGTTTGATGTTGTGGCCAGTGTTTGATATTGTGGCCAGTGTTGTTATGGCCAGTGTTTGATGTTGTGGCCAGTGTTTGATGATGTGGCCTGTGTTTGATGTTGTGGCCAGTGTTTGATGTTGTGGCCAGTGTTTGATGCTGTGGCCTGTGTTTGATGTTGTGGCCTGTGTTTGATGCTGTGGCCTGTGTTTGATGTTGTGGCCAGTGTTTGATGTTGTGGCCAGTGTTGTTATGGCCAGTGTTTGATGTTGTGGCCAGTGTTTGATGTTGTGGCCAGTGTTGTTATGGCCAGTGTTTGATGTTGTGGCCAGTGTTTGATGTTGTGGCCAGTGTTTGATGTTGTGGCCAGTGTTTGATGTTGTGGCCAGTGTTTGATGCTGTGGCCAGTGTTTGATGCTGTGGCCAGTGTTTGATGTTGTGGCCAGTGTTTGATGTTGTGGCCAGTGTTTGATGTTGTGGCCAGTGTTTGATGTTGTGGCCAGTGTTGTTATGGCCAGTGTTTGATGTTGTGGCCAGTGTTTGATGCTGTGGCCAGTGTTGTGGCCAGTGTTTGTTGTTATGGCCTGTGTTTGATGTTGTGGCCTGTGTTTGATGTTGTGGCCTGTGTTTGATGTTGTGGCCAGTGTTTGATGCTGTGGCCAGTGTTGTTATGGCCAGTGTTTGATGTTGTGGCCAGTGTTTGATGCTGTGGCCAGTGTTGTGTTGTTTGATGTTGTGGCCAGTGTTTGATGTTGTGGCCATTGTTTGATGCTCTGGCCAGTGTTGTTGTGGCCAGTGTTGTTATGGCCAGTGTTGTGTTGTACAAGAAGACCAGCATTTGATACCAATATATTTTTCTACTTGCAGCAACCCTGGACTGTCAGTTGACCCCGAGCTGCCCACACCGTGGCTGCCATTTGACCAGCAGGAGGGTCACTACCTGCAGTTTGGCATCACACCTGAGCTCAAGACTCAGTTCAAACCTGAACGCCTTTTCTTCTGGGCCACCCAAATTCCTGAGTGGATAGAGGAGTATCCAGTGGATCAGACGACTCACACGGAGCTTTGAGGAGTTGTATGACATTTTGTGTCACAGACTTTGTCTGACATTTTGTGTCACAGACTTTGACATTTTGTGTCACAGACTTTGACATTTTCTGTCACAGACTTTGACATTTTGTGTCACAAACTTCGTCTGACATTTTGTGTCACAGACTTTGACATTTTGTGTCACAGACTTTGACATTTTGTATTGCAGTGTTTAAGTCTGACATTATATATCAAGTACTTTTCTGTGTGTTTATGATTGCTGTGTAAAAAAAATGTTCAAAAGGAATGTTGTATGAAAGATTATGCTGGAAAATGAATTTTGCATGTTTAACTATGCAGGAAAATGAATGTTTGAAAAACTAATAAGGAAAATGAATGTTGCATGTTAAATTATGCAGGAAAATGTGATTTCTAGTTGTATAAAGTGCAAGACATGTGCTGTAAAAAATGTTTTCATTTTAACAATCATTGCTACATAAAGACGATAATTTTTTTATTGTATTTGTCAGTTGCCTAGTTACTTCCTTATTTATCTGTAACGGTTAGCCAACCAAACCACTGGTTGTGAGAAATGTTGAAAATAATGAAATGCTTTCATTCAGTTTAAACTTACACATGCTTGCGGTAATGTTACGGAAACACATTTTGTTTCAGTTGTTTTAAAATTTTAAATGCTCACAATAAAAAATTTAAACCATTGCATTAATTCTTTTATAAATTGTATTTAACTTGTTAAACATAACATTTAATTTACGGGGTCAGTTTTAGATTTTAAAATAATTTTTAAACATATCATCCAAGCACTAAGATTTTCAACCAGATGATTATTGAGCTCATTGTCTTAATACGTGTCGGGATGAAACAAAGTAAACCACGAAGATTTTCGTATCAACAGACAGACATGGGTGTCCTTTAAAACTATGTTTACATGACCTTTTACTAGTTCTTTACATTCTTAAAATACTCTTCCCCTTAGCTTTTATTTACAACTAGCTTCAAAGCCTTTTGGAATACAAGAAAAAAAGAAGTTTTGTTAGATATTCAGTTTTTTTCTAGGTCAATTATTTTAGATGTTCATTTTTTTCTAGGTCAGTTATTTTAGATATTCAGTTTTTTTCTAGGTCAATTATTTTAGATATTCATTTTTGTCTAGGTCAATTATTTTAGATATTCATTTTTGTCTAGGTCAATTATTTTAGATATTCATTTTTGTCTAGGTCAATTATTTTAGATATTCATTTTTGTCTAGGTCAATTATTTTAGATATTCATTTTTGTCTAGGTCAGTTATTTTAGATATTCATTTTTGTCTAGGTCAGTTATTTTAGATATTCATTTTTGTCTAGGTCCATTATTTTAGATATTCATTTTTGTCTAGGTCAATTATTTTAGATATTCATTTTTGTCTAGGTCAATTATTTTAGATATTCATTTTTGTCTAGGTCAGTTATTTTAGATATTCATTTTTGTCTAGGTCAGTTATTTTAGATATTCATTTTTGTCTAGGTCCATTATTTTAGATATTCATTTTTGTCTAGGTCAATTATTTTAGATATTCATTTTTGTCTAGGTCAATTATTTTAGATATTCATTTTTGTCTAGGTCAATTATTTTAGATATTCATTTTTGTCTAGGTCAGTTATTTTAGATATCCATTTTTGTCTAGGTCAGTTATTTTAGATATTCATTTTTGTCTAGGTCAATTATTTTAGATATTCAGTTTTGTCTAGGTCAGTTATTTTAGATATTCATTTTTGTCTAGGTCAGTTATTTTAGATATTCAGTTTTGTCTAGGTCAGTTATTTTAGATATTCAGTTTTTTCTAGGTCAATTATTTTAGATATTGTTTTTTCTAGGTCAGTTATTTTAAGGACAATTTGGAATGGATGGGGAGAAGATCTTATAAAAATAAATTATTTAATTACTTATTATTTACTACAAAGAAACAAACTAATTAAAATTTATAATCCATACCCAGCTGTGATGGGTACCTGACTTGCGTTGGGGAAAGTAAAGGCAGCTGGGCATACCTGACCACACTATTTTTCATATGCCGAGTTCAAAGAAATACATTAACTCTACTTCACCTACACCATGGACTGTAATGTTCAAAAGGGTACCTTACCAACAGAGGCACACATAGTTTGGCAATAATAATTAATTAATTATACCAAAAGTCGAGTTTTACGGTACTATCGAACGATTATCTACTGTTTATTACGCACAACTGCATTTGTCAACCACTAATCTCCTATTATGATCTATTGAAACTGTTTTGAAAAGTCCATTGAACATTTACCAGGAACCTTACATGAACATTTACCATGAACCTTACATGAACATTTACCATGAACCTTACATGAACATTTACCATGAACCTTACATGAACATTTACCATGAACCTTACATGAACATTTACCGTGAACCTTACATGGCGAGTTCATGTTTTCAACCTGGACAGGACCACCTAGTGCCACTATTGAGACTATTGCCACACTACTACTAACACAAGCACAAAAAGTTGAGTGCCTGACGACAGACAGTTGAAATAAAAATTAGCATTGAAAATTTAAACCTTCTCTTTCTTAATGATAATTAATATCCTTTTTGTTTCCATAAAAAATGTTATCCTAATAGATCTAGTTTCTTTTAAAATCAATGATTGTGACGGTGGCCATTTATAGATCTAGCCATAGCCACAAATTACAAAAAGTAAACAACACAAATACTGGTCAAATACTGAAATAGATCTAGTCTAGATTCTAGATCTAGATCTAGATTCTAGATCTAGATCTACGTGCTTGTTTGCTTACAAAATGAAAATGTAAAGAGCGTTACATACGCCCAAAACAGCAACAGCGCGTGATTCTAAAATTTAACCTACACTCCACAATACCTGCTATTCCACAATATTACGTTTGGCTTCACAAATAAGTTACCATCACAGTCAAAGAATTAAACAAAACCAGCTTTCTACTTATTTTCCCTCTCCTACTAGATCTAGATCTAGATCTAGTGAGCAACAACCCCCATGAAACAATTAATGTCCAAATAGAATCTAGATCTATTCTAGACTATATCTAGATCTAGTCTAGCTTTTTACACCGTAAAAGCAAACATTAAAGTAATCAAAACAAAAAAAAAAAACCACTTTGTAACATACAGCATGCTCTACATCTAGATATTTAGATCTATATCTAAGGCAAAAATAATAGCGACCAGTAGATCTACGTATTAAATGTCAGATAATATCACAAGGCATAGAACCCAAAGGCACACACATATATAAATAATAATAATATATATATATATATATATATATATATATATATATATATATATATATATATATATATATATATATATATATATATATATATATATACATATATTTATTACTTTACAGGTAGTGAGATTCAGTGGATGTGGGGGGGGGGGGGGGTTAACAGGGCCCACCCGTAATAATAACACTACAGGCGTTGCATTGTCGTGCAAGCAATTGAGAGAATTTATAAATGAACTGGTAAATTTAAATGTTACCCTAAAAGCCTCAGTTTACTGGAAAATCCCCCCCCCCCCCCTTCCTTCACAGACCTGCACCTTCCTCCCAACTGTCGGTCAAACATTTATCAATGTTTTTCTAATAATTTATACCTTCATGACAATTTATTTTTCATCTAATTAATTTTTTATCAACATGGCGGTACTAACAACACAAGTTTCTGAATATCATCCAATCGCAAAGAAACTTTGGAATACAAAATAGTATTTTTATACAAATTTAAAAAAAATAAATAGTAAATTACTAGACTTATTTTTAACAGAGAGACTATAGTGTCCTTAAATAATATTTTCGATTTACGACCTTCCATGAGAAACAAAAGAAAAAATATCTAATTATTATAAAGGATAAAGCATTTTTAATAATATGGTCTAAGGGAAATAACAAGATAAATACGTTTATATTCAAAATTATAAAAGTAGCAACCCATGCTTATTAAATTAAAAGGGACGTAATCGAGTAAAATATTATATTTTTTTTGCAGACAGAGTTGTATCCCTCTTTCAATTACTGTAAAAAATAATAATTTAATTATTTTAAATATTTTATTATCGATATTTTAAATAAGACGATTTATTTAACTAAACTATAAGCGCCTTTATTTATAAAAGAAATTATTATATAAGTGTTTTATCAAATTCAATATGTCCGTTGTGTGAATTTTTAATGGTAGTCACTCGTGATTTATGTCTAAAACGTGAATTATAGACCTACTAGCCATCGGTACCCGTTTCACGTGAATTATAGACCTACTAGCCATCGGTACCCGTTTCACGTGAATTATAGACCTACTAGCCATCGGTACCCGTTTTAGGTGAATTATAGGCCTACTTGTACTTGTTTGAGAAAATAATTTATGAAATAGTTATTGGTCAAAACGCAATGTGCTACACGCTGAAAGACATTAGTGACAAAGCAAAGAAATAAATAATTAGCTAAAAATCCGACACATTTAACATAACACAGCCACACACTGATTAAGTGACTTAAATGATTCCGTTACAAATCTGGCTTTTCAATTGTCATTATGTTGTTTTTAAGTTATTTGTATTAGTTTGACCGATAAAATTGTATACATTTCATAGCGTACGTCTTGATGAGTAGATCTATAGATCTAGATCTAAATCAAATTTGAATGAAGTAGTTCCTTTCTTTATAGTCTAAAATCGGAAGATTCACATATAAAAATAAATAAAAAATAAAATTCGACTTGGCGTGTCTCGATCCCGCACCACCTACGTGTTATTAAGTACTCTATCATCTCAGCTATTTATGGAGAATGAAAGACTTATTTTAAAAAACTTAACTTACGCTAATATGCCTATTCTTTCAAATTAATTTTTTAAAATCCCAAATTAGCCAGTTCCATAGCTTAACAAACAAAGATTTCTATAAAATAATTAAGGCCTGAAATAGTTTAATATAGAAATTTATTTTTGGAATATATTCTAGAGTAGATCAGGGGCGGAACTACAGTGCCGCCAGACCCCGCAATGCGGGGGGGGGGGGGGGGGGGCAGACCAATTGGGGGCCCAAAAATCCTGGCTAAATTATTTTTAAAAAATTAAAAAAAAATAAAAAAATTAGGTGGAGGTCGAGTTATCTTTCTTCTACAGTTACAAACAAACACGATAGTCGGCAAACGTCTTTGAGAAAAATGCACTGACTATAGCTCGAGAGACCGCCAGACATATAGACAACTTCAAAGACGAAGCATCTGAAATTTGACTGTGCCGGTACGCTTTGAAATCGGGCTGGGGAAATGTTGCGGCGAGGCGACTATCCTGGTCTTCTAGACCAGGGGTCTCCAAACTTTTCAGTCCGAGGGCCGCATTAACTATCAAATTTCAGTTCAGGGGCCAGGTTCTTTCAGGCATGTCTTTGATTTTTCTGGGCGAAGTTCCTCAGCCATCACCAACAAACGATTTTTCCTTGGACAAAAAGATCTCCGCGGGCCGGATGAGAGGACCTCGCGGGCCGCATCCGGCCCGCGGGCCGTAGTTTGGAGACCCCTGTTCTAGACGATCGGAAAAAGTCGGCACTAATGATGTAGATGTTTATCGGCGCTTTCTTGTCCCCTTCCCTTCCCAACTCTCTCCCCCCCCTCCCCCCTACCCCTCACTTCTACCCCTCACCACACCCTTACTCTTACAATAAGATGTAATGCATAGATTAACGAACCGTCTATGAACTGTAAACTGACCACTTCTGCACATTTTGTTAAAGACACTAGTCAGTAGTTGTTCATTTACCTGAAGAACAGGGGCGGAACTACAGTCTCGCCAGACCCTGCAATGCGCGGGGGGGGGGGGGGGGAGGGGGAGGCCGTTTAGGGGCCCACGGCTGACCAAATTTTTTTTTTTTTTTAAATTTTGAATTTAATTTTTGCCTTAATATTTGGTTTGTAAAAGGAAAACACTGTAGCTGCGGTACGATTATCTTTATTTTACAGTCACTATACCACGCTCTTCCGCAAAAGATAAAATCCATTACACAAACGACAGTGTAAAATATAGGCAACTCTTCAAATTTTGAATGACTTCTTTGACTCGTTGCCCCCCCCCCTCCCTTTGATAGCTAAATAGAGGACACGTAACTGTTTGACCGATCCTCCAAAGTATACTGTGGTGGATGGGGCAGGGGATGGGGACCAAAAAGGGGGTTAAAATATTGTCGACAAATTCTTTACATATTTAAAACAGTTATTTATAGTTGTATTTTTTAACCATCGTCAAGGCCGAGTTCTATTTCCCTACAATCAAACACACGCTGTCGCCGGCAAAATTCTTTTTAAAAAAACAACAAAGTCCATAGCACGAAAAGCCGCTACATATGAAGTGGGCTTTCAATACTTTCATGATGCGCGATTCTTATTTGCGGCATTGGTAGGGGACCCGAAATCCATTGTACATTTTTCAATGTTAATATGTGTTTGTGATAGTGGTTGAATTTGTATCCTGTACTATCTTGTATCGTACAAATAATTTTAAAAAATAATATAATACTAGACAGTGGCGTAGCCAGGATCGTCTCAAGGGTGGGGGGGGGGGGGGTTCCAATTTTTTACTTTCGATTTGCACCCCCCCCCCCCTCAAACTTTCGATTTGCACTAAACGTAAACTTTTAAGGCCTATACTTCAAATTATCTCCCCTGAGTAAGTTTTCCAATGGGCGATGCTGACGTACATAGATCAAGGCGTTTTGTTGTCCCTTTCAAGTTTTTTCCAGAGCCGACCCCTATCCCATCCCTCTTTTTCAACCTCACAAGTATCGAGGAGATAAATGTATCGTTTATGAACTACTTCCTAACCGTACGATTCACCACTTCAGCACATTTTGTCAGACACTAGACAGCACTAGATCTAGTCAACACATATTAATTTACTTTCATAGTATTAGTCACATCTAATTCACAAAACAGGGCAGGTAAGATTATTTTTTATATAATTATTTAGAAATTAATTAGAACGTTTAGAATTAATTGAACATTATTAATAGTCATTGAGGTGGTGGTGTGTGAGGGTCTGGCTTTTTGTTAACCCCCCCCTCCCCTAAATCAGAAGGTTATCCAACGCGTGACCTGGCCACATACAGTTGTACATGTGAAAAACATTTTTCTCTCTATTATTATTATGCATTACTGCATCATTCACCCAATCGCCATGAAAACTTGGGAAGCTGTTGAGTACAGCCCCGCTAAGGTTTCTGTCATAGGCCTAACATTTGTACATATTTGAGTGGGGACTCCTAACGGAAATATGTGATTTAGCGCCCCGTGATCCTGCATAAGCGGATGAGGTTACTACTTGAATACAACTGGCGTCAGTGTCATCCTGAGCGCATCACATATGAGCAAGTTGGCCCCCACAGACAGTCGTTTAAAAGTTCCCACAACACTAGGAATAAGTCGCGCTACTACACTCGATGACTAAATCTAATTAGGTGTCGCACCAATGTTTCTTCCAGGGTAGACTGTTTTCGGGGGAGGGGAGGGGGGGAGCTCTGCCGGAAGAAACAATGTGTCACACCCATCACCCGTGCAGTAATGTAACCGGTAGCTCCAAGAGCCCCGTGACTCCCCTGACACCTGGGCCGTCGCCGAGGGATTTACAGCATGCCTTGGCGTGTCTAGTTGGTAGTGTGGACAAACCCGCGCCTTAAGATCCAAGAAATGAACTGCCGACATTGTTAACATTTAATTCAACTTCTGGAAAACAGGGCACACGGTTAGTAACGTTTTGATGAAAACCTCAGTTTGGTGAGTTGGACTAGATTTAGAAAGGGGCCAGCTCGTGTGTTGGAAAACCTCTGAGTTATTCGTGTACTAGATGGAATTTTTTTTTAATTGAGAGAAAACCTTGTTTTATATATATATATATATATATATATATATATATATATATATATATATATATATATATATATATATATATATATATATACATATATATATACATATATATATATATATATATATATATATATATATATATATATATATATAGGGGCCCAAAAAAATTCTTCGGGGGGGGGGGGGGGGGCTTTTTTTCTAGTTCCGCCACTGATACACATGACATGTTGTTGTGCTTAGATTTAATTGAATTTTTTTTTTCAAAACCCGATCAGGCCAGAAATGAGTGTCCTATGTTCGTATTGTGTGTTTATATATATATATATATATATATATATATATATATATATATATATATATATATATATATATATATATATATATATATATATATATATATATATATATATATATATATATATATATATATATATATATATACATATATGGGGGGCCCAAAAAATTGTTTTGCGGGGTGGCCCATTTTTTCTAGTTCCGCCACTGGAGTAGATAGAGTCTAAATCTAGATCTTAGCGACTTAGCGTCTACGTCTAGTTTTTGTGTAGATTTAGATCTAGTCTAGATCTAGAATCTCTAGATCTAGAATCCAAATAGATAAACAAGTTAATAAAAAGTCTAGTGACAATTTTAGCGCAATTTCCTTATGTTATCCATAACAATTTTTTTTGGACCGAACGAAAGGATATTTTTGAAAACTTTCTTCGGCAATATTGTTCTAAATTATGGCAGGAATCGATTGGTAAATGTTTCAAGTCGCTAAGTGGTCTGGTTGCCGAGATATGGGCAAAAAACTGCATTTTTTCGAGGTTTTTTGGCTTTTCCGGGAAATCCAGGAAGGAATTCCGGGAATTTTTTTGGCCCACAATCATCCTCGGAACTTGCTTAACATATTTGCTTCTAGTCCTCGATATTGCTTCGTTGAGGAGGAGATACGACTTAAAGCTGCGGACACACATCCATCCAAAAACTGCATTTTTTCGAGGTTTTTTTTTGGCTTTTCAGGGAAATCCAGGAAAGAATTTCGGGAATTTGTTTGGTTCTTAATCATCCTCGGAACTTGCTTAACATATTTGCTTTTGGAACTAGTCCTCGATATTGCTTCGTTGAGGAGGAGATACGACTTAAAGCTGCGGACACACATCCATCCATCCATCCAGAAATAACGAATTAATAATCGCAATTGCCAGTATGGATATTGCGCTAAAAAATTATAATTTTAGGCCAAATAAATTGTATTATATACATTTCATAGCGTACGTAGATCTAATTCAAATTTGAATGAAATAGTTCATTTCTTTTTATTCTAAACTCGGCAGATGTCGTCATTGTTTCATGGGTTCTTTTTCACAACTATAAACACTTTTCCTGTTGCATAATTAAAACTGTTTTTCAACATTCGAATATGCCTTTATTTTTTCTTTTTTAAATAAAATGTTGGTTATACATTTAAAACATCTACTATATTATTTTCAACAAAAGTCCGTATCAAGTTCTCCATATATCGCTGAAGATTCTGATGTGATACCCTGCGAAAATATTTTTGCGGACAGAGAGAGAGAGAGAGAGAGAGAGAGAGAAGTGCGCCACCCCATGCGAATGGCTATCTCTGATACTATCATTGATCTGATCACTGAGTAACTCATAAACATAAAAGAGCTATATTTGTATATCATATGACTTATTCAAGGATCATAAGCCAATCTTTACTAGGGCCTATGCTCCGACTCTCAGCATTTTGAATCTATAATTAGAATAACAAAGGGAAGAAAACGAAAATTAAAACTGATTTCCGCCATTAACAAATAGTGTTTGATCGGCTGAGTGCGCTCATGGGCTTTTATATATTAGGATTGTTGTAGCTAGAACTAACGCGCTGTCTCAAGCCCTAGCAGGTACTATCGCGGTTAAATAGGAGGAACAGGCGTAGTGACTCGCCTTTGTCTGAAGGGTTTGAACGTGACGTCATCGCCGTAATGGAAGGCCTGCGGACCGACCCATTTCAAAGCTTCCGGACGCCGCAGCAAATCATGTGACGGCAACAGAAGAACGGCAACCCTCTGTCCGTACTTGACCTCCTCAGTTGTGATGGGTTCCGCGTTGTCGGCGTCCACCACACAGATGAGGTCTGGCACTGAGCCCACACACTCGCCCCGCCGCCCCTGGACCAGCGGTATGATGACCAGGTTCTCGTTCTGGAACTCAATCAGCAGCTCTCGGCCCAGCCACTGCTCCACGCCCTCCACCACGAGAAAACCTTTGTTGAAGCCGCCGCTCGTCTCCCTCTGGACGTCCAAGATTTTCCCAGTCATGACGTGTAAGGCGTCCTCCTGCTGTACGATGGCGTCAATCACCGACTCCTTGTTTAGCCTGGCCCTCAGGATGCGGTCCCCCAGCCTCCAGGCGCTGCTGACCGTGTGCAGGGGGGTTTTGGTCAAGACAACTTCTTTCTTCAGTGGCAGAGCCAGTCCAGCGGAACATCCGTTCTCTATGGACACGTCACGCAAAAAGTTCTCTAGAAGTTTCCCCCCTGGGGCAAACAGAAGCGCCGTCCTCTCTCGGTGGTTTCCGCTGCCAACAATGGCGGCAGGGTACGGATATTCACCAAACATGTAGGGCATGAACATCTGTACCTCGGGGAAAGCTCGGCTCATGCCGTCCCCGTCCAGGATTGGGATATTGGACTTGGCGGCAATCAGAAACGGCTCGATGGCGTTCATCCCGCCAATTTCAGCAGAGACGGTCGCCAGAAGTCGGCACCCAGTCGACCTTTCGCCAGTCGGGCGATAGTTTTTGATGAACTTTACCCCCGCGGGATTTGTCTCAATGTCTACCCCGCCCAAGTTCTGCAACTCGCCATCTTTAAACCCGCCAATCTCATACAAATCGTGAAGACATTCCATCGCCGCCTGTGTTTCAAAAGACGATACGCCCTGCTCGTACATGATCAGTGGCGCCCCTATGAAAGCAGACGTTATAACAATGTCCTTATCAGGGTCTGCATCTTTCAGTAAGCGTTCAGGGGTGACGACTCTCATTTTTCCGCCATCTTGAATACACTTAATGGCCCTGAGCCGCCCCAGATGTGGGTTGCCTCCCCCTCCACAGCCGTAGATCCCAGAGCCCACCACGATACACTCAATGTCCCACTCGGACAAGGTCCACTCGCCGGTCACGTGGTCGACGTTAGGCTCTTTTGGTGTCTTGCTCCAGTCCGTGACGTCATCTTCTTCATTTCCTGCAATTCTTTTTCCTGTGGCAGAAAACGTCTGCTTCTGCCCGACCAGTGTCTGCTGCTGGATGAGTTCCTGGGAGTGGGGTGGCTCCTCCCACTCTGTCAGATGGTCAGCTGACCAGGTGGTCAAATCTCCAACAACTTTCACTTTCATTTGAGTGGCGTTGCCTGGGGTGTAAGCTATGACCGAATCCTGTTTTTCTAGAATCTCTAACGTCTTCTGGTCAGCGCCTTGTCCGATAACAATCTCCTTCAGACTGGCGCAGATTTTGTCCATGGCTTCGTCTCTCGCCTTGGTAAAGAATGGTTTTCTGGCTTCGTTTCGAACCCGCTCCGTTTCCTTGCCGTCAGGGTCGTTGGTGACTTTAGCAACTTCTTCTTGGACGCATCTCTCCATCTGGCTGGCGTCGATGTAGTCCATCAGGTTGACCACATTGTTGAAGGTGGCGGAGACTTTGCTCAAGGCAGCTCCAATGGCGTTAGCCACACCGAAGTGTTCGGGAACAATCAGCTGCGTGGTTCCCTTGAGGTTCCTCGTCCTGTCAATCAAGACGCTGCCTCCACCGACGATGATGACCGGCAGCTCTTCTTTGCTTAATTTGATTTTATCGATGGCGTCCTCCACGAGCCTGTGGATTTCATCCGTGGCCAGTCGAACCAAATCTGGGTTCAAATCTTTGACGTTCTCGAAACTTCCAAGTCGGGCTAGGCCAGATGCCACGGCTATGTCTGTGGCCGTCAAAGATTTTTGTGCCAGATCTGCAGGCTCGCTGAAGACGTGGGCTTCTTGCATCAGATTCAGACCGGCACTCAATGGTCCAACTGCCACACGGACACGCCCATCCTGTGTCACGTGTTCTTTGACATACGACCCCCCACCCAGGCCGATGCTAATGACGTCAGGCATACGGAAGTTGGTCCTGACATCGGCGACCTTGACATGGCTCGCTGCTTCTCTAGGAAAGCCGTCTTTCAGAATGCCGACGTCTGTGGTGGTGCCGCCAATGTCGATGACGATGGCGTCCTTGAGACTGGACAAGAAGGTGGCGCCACGCATGCTGTTGGTTGGCCCTGAAGCGAAGGTCAGCACGGGCTGCTGCAAGACCCCGTCACTACTGGCCACAGTCCCGTCGTTCTGGGTCAGATAGAACGGACATTTCAGGCCGATGTCTTCCAGCGCGGATTTGAACCCACTCACTGTTTTCTTGCATAACGGTTTCAAGCACTCGTTGAGTATGGCGGCATTTTCCCTCTCCAGCAGGCCGATGTGACCCACCTCATGAGACAGCGTCACCGTCGCCTCCGGATATTCCTCCTGGGTTATTTCCCTTGCTCTGATCTCCTGATCTGGTCGTGTGGGTGAGAAGACGCCGATGTAGGCGATGTTTTTAATGCCCTTGACCTTGATCTCCTGGATGACGTCACGTAGCTGGACCTCGTCGATTGGCTCGTGTTCCTTGCCGTCAAAGCGACAGCCGCCGTGAACCAGGTAGATGGCGCCACAGATGATGTCTCGCAGTCGAGAGGGGAAGTCCATGAACGGGGGCACCTCATCTGAAACTGGCCCACAAATTCGGACGGCCGCCACACTGGCCAGCTCCTTGCCTTGAACAACTGCGTTGACAAAATGGGTTGTCCCTGAAAGCAACCAATCAAATCAATCCATCAGTCAACCAATCAATCAATTAATAAGTCAACCAATCAGTCAACCAATAAGTCAACCAATAAGTCAACCAATCAATCAATCAGGTTGTGTCAAAAAAAGATCGGTGTCGTATAGAAAAAAAAAGAGCTCACTTATGAAAACAAAATTTTCTTTTATTTGTATACACAAAAGATTTTAGGAATAAGAAATAAAATGACAACAAGTTAAATGTAAGCCCTGCTATGGGGGGATACCTAATATCTACCCTTCTAGGCTTATCTAACTAACTACTGTCCGGTCAGTGCAAGCCCGGATAAACCCAGACTGGTTAATAACCTAACCTTAGTCTAAATAATAATAAAACTACTAAAAATAAAACAAAAACTTAAACAATATAATGACATTTATTTAACAAAATAAATATGGAACCAAGCTTATAAACAAACTAGAATTTAGGTAAAACAGAACACTGGAGACATACACAATAGAAACAGAACTCAACGGAACAAAACGCCCAATTTCGGACCACCGTCACCACATAAACGTGACATAGAAACTCTTCAACACACATGCCTCGACATTCCAGCAGAATGTCTCTCCATGTCGACACACCACATTCACGAACAAAGAAACCAATACTACGAACAAGAAAATAGTCCCTAATACAATAATAAGTAACATTCAGGACATAAAGCAAAGTGGAGCAACAATCCAAAACAAAGTTTGCATAAATAATAACACTAAAATATAAACAAGACACAATAACCAGGCTACAAACCATTGTAAAATCAAAATCACATCAGCGCCATAATAGCGGACTACTTAACTAAAAACCACAACAATCCTCAAAGGAACATAAAAAGCGACATTCGCCTTCTTAGTTACAAATAATTATAATAACAGATAAACACACTCCAGCCGCTCACATAAAGACATACCGATGTTGACTTGAGAAACAAAATGACAACAAGTTAAAGACATACCGATGTTGACTTGCATTGGGGCGACTGCCTTGCCAGCACTTTTGGTTTGTAACAGACATCCTAAAATCGCCTTTTTGACCCCAGTGGTGACGTCACTTGTGGTCAGTTCTTTCTGCTCTGCCAGAACCACAGGCGAGCCGTCCTGGTAGCTGATGACAACAGCATCGGTGTTGGTTCCACCGATGTCCACTCCCACAACAACAGGGGTCACGTGTGACGTCATGACGCAGTCACTGAAAGACGTGTGACGTCATAATGGTTTGGGTTGGGATGGTTTATTTGTGTTACAAATATTTGGTAACAACCTGTATGCAGGTAACAACAACCTGTATGCAGGTAACAACGACCTGTAGGCATATGCAGGTATAACGACCTGTATGCAGGTAACAAAAACCTGTATGCAGGTAACAACGACGTGTATGCAGGTAACAACGACGTGTATGCAGGTAACAACAACCTATAGGCAGGTAACAACGACCTGTATGCAGGTAACAAAAACCTGTAGGCAGGTAACAACGACGTGTATGCAGGTAACAAAAACCTGTATGCAGGTAACAACGACCTGTAGTCAGGTAACAAAAACCTGTATGCAGGTAACAACGACCTCTAGTCAGGTAACAAAGACCTGTATGCAGGTAACAACGACCTGTATGCAGGTAACAAAAACCTGTATGCAGGTAACAACGACCTGTAGTCAGGTAACAAAGACCTGTATGCAGGTAACAACACCCGTGTATGCAGGTAACAAAAACCTGTATGCAGGTAACAACGACCTGTAGTCAGGTAACAAAGACCTGTATGCAGGTAACAACGACCTGTATGCAGGTAACAAAAACCTGTATGCAGGTAACAACGACCTGTAGTCAGGTAACAAAGACCTGTATACAGGTAACAACGACGTGTATGAAGAAAAAGCGTGTTGCGCAGCTCTCGTTGTAACCTTTGTTGCCATGGTAATGATGGCTGAACCCTGAACCTTAAGTCCTAACTTCTGTTTGACCATATGTATTTAGGGGCCTATCAGTTTATGCTTATGCGCAGAGCCCACGGTCTACATTTAATGACGAAGGGGTCCTCATCTCTACGATAAGATGTTTTAAAAATTAATCGCGTTTTATTTCTTTAATTTTGTTTGAAACCTCACCAAAGATTAGTGTGCTCAAATATAAGGTAAGTTTGGATAATTAATTAGATACTTAAAATTTAAAGTCAGAGAAAAGTAAATTAATGAATCAAGTCTAAGGGTCGAAAAAAATCAATATCTGTTAAAAAATTAAGTCTTAACCTTCCACATAGGCAGAAAAGTCGCCCGCGAGTGAGCCTTATTTTCGCGCCAAATTTCCAGTAATTATTAGGCCTACATAATTAAAATATCGCATCTCTTGATATCGGCTCTCTTAATATTAGTATTTGTAGTATTAGTTATTCATTGTCACTTAGGCCTGATTATAATTTTATTAGTTTAAGTAGCCTACATACTGTAATAGATTGACGATAGAAGCATGTGATTGTATATAAAACGTTTATTGGCCTCAACTACATGATGGTAACGAGAGAGAGGCGGAAGTCACGAGACACAAATATATATATATACATATAAGGGACATCACTCAAGATAACAGTATAAATATAATACTAATACAAGAAGAGTGAGTTCCCTTGACTTCACAATTCTCACTATATTACACATACTAAATTATTACGGTTGAATAGGTCTAGATCTAGAGTCTAGACTGTAGGCCTACATTTATTTTATTTTTAGATCTTTACACAAAAGTTGGCTTTTAGATCTTGATCTAGCTAGATCTACTAATTAGATTCTAGAATAGATTTAGAAAAATGAATCTAGATTCTAGATCTAGAATCTACATCTACTGATCTAGTAACTAGAATCTAGATTCTAATTCTGGTAAAAAAAATAAAAAAGAATCTAGATCTACATTTAAGTCTAAGATAAGTTGTTGCTGAAAAAATGCTTACTGCGAATTGTAAACTAATTTTGAAAACTAATACTAACAATGTTTATAATTATGTTTTGTTTTCATAATGTAAAAAAAAAAACATTTTAATTACATAACTTATTTTTCAGGGTAATTTGAATCAGCAAGATAACCTAGAATCAGTAGTTAATGTGCTTCAAAAATGTTGGTCCAAACTAATTTAAACTATTTTCTTTTTCAGTTTGATCACTCAAGTACTAACGCTTTTTAAAGATGTATTTCTTTTCCTTAGATGTGCTAATTGTATCTAAAGACTAATTATAATTGATACTTTAGAAAATTGTTTTTAAACACTAAAGTAATCCAAGAAATTTGTTGTCACTTATTTTTTTTCCAGCATACACTCAAGGCATGGGTGTTTATTCCTTGATAATTGATACTATTTTTCTTCTTAAGAGGGATCGTAATGAGACGAGACTGATTTCTTGTACTGTAGATTTGTTTCTTCAAACCAATTATGATTATGTAACTGTTTTACAGTACTATGTTGATAGTAGATTATACAAAGGCTAAATTTAGGTTGTCGCTATGTAATTTATTTCTTTGCTCTGATAAATATATTTTTAAATTATTGCAACAAATCTTTTTTTTTTTAACTTTGCCATTCTCCTAAATGTTTCTATTTTATTAGACAAAATCAAAATTGATGCGGTGATCTGATAACTGTATTTTAATAATTTATATTTCTTTTAGCAAACATTGAAATGTCAGTATTGTCAGTATGCTGTGTTTCTCACATTGTAACAATTTACATTGAATAGTTTACTAGTAATAAATGAATACTGGTACACACTTTGACAGCTGTTTCCTTTTTATTTTGTTTTATAATTTTATTATGGCCTCCTGATATAGAGACTGATATCAAGTACAAGGGGGTGAGGGGGGGGGGGTCTGAGAAAGTAATGTCAAGGCAACCAGTTGCTACTTTCATTTATCATGTCGTGTGTGTGTGTGTGTGTGTAGGCAGAGTTTCTTCCAGGCATCTCTTCGGCCCCCCCCCCCCCCCCCCCGAAATTTTTTTACCGCCCCCCCCCCCCCCCGAACGAAATGAAATTTATATAATTTATATAGAAAATATATACTTTTAACAGTGTCCGCCTTCCCCCCCCCCCCCCCCCCCCCCGAAAGAAAGTCTACCCCCCCCCCCCCCGAAAATTTCAAGTTTCCCCCCCCCCCCCCCCCGGAGAAAAAAGTCTGGAAGAAACACTGTATGTAGGTCTACTCTACTTCATCTACCCAAGTAATATCGTTCATTACAATAAGAACGTGTGCAGTAATACGTGCGTGTGCATTTCTATTATATAATAATAGTAGTAACAGTATTAAATATTAAAAAATCGGTTTACAATAACTAGATCTTGACCTAGTTTTATCTTAAACCTACATTAACTTTTTTTTAACGGAGTAATAAGTAAGTCAATATATTATGAGGTTGACAATGGCATGTAATTACTCAGTCAAATCACATCCAGTCCAGTATAACTTAGGCTTTAAGTAAAAAAATTCCTACCAAGAGATCGGCAGACGTGTCGTGTGTTGAGAAACTCAGCACAGCAGAACAAAGTTGACCTCAGATAGCAGCAGGGGGCGGTCTGATCACGTGGGACGTGTAATCTAGTGCACCAACCAATCGCGTTAGGTCGTCTAACAGCTCCTGGCATCAGCGAGCCAACCACGTATCACTCGCACTTTTACCGATCTATCGGCCATATATCAAATAACTACAACATTAATTATGTTGCATTGTATGGGGAATATGAGGACAAATATTGATTATAATTGAATTTTTTAATTATCAAATTAACATATTACATTGCTAAGAAAGAAAGATTTATATAAATACTAGACGACCCGTTAACCTTGGATAACTCTGAGTTTCGGGTGTCATCAATAAATGACCCTACGTTTGTATGACGATTATTATCTTTTCTCTCCCCTCCCCACTGTCACACAAAGTCATACCTTACAATACATCTAAAAATACGTCACGCCTCACACAACATGTTTTTGTCTTTTAAAAGGATTTTGGCTCAACATGGGTCTGACCATGTTAGTTGTGAAAAAAGCAAATAAATCAAGTGGCGTCACTATAAATAAAGTAATTGTTCTGAACTTTTGTATTTTAAAATACACATAAAAAATAAAAATTCAAACGTATAAAAACAGAGACTTTGAGTAGAATATAGATAATAATACATTCGACTTTTTAAATCGAGAACGTAGTCCTATCTCCATGTACACCATGCTTCGAAAATTAAAGCGTTTTTCGCTTTGTATAATTACATTTTCTGGATTTGTTTTTAAGCGTTTAATTTCTTGTGTACAAATAACTGTTAGATTGACAAGATCATGGCCAATAGACTTTAGAGCTAGACGAATAGCTACATTTGAATTTATATCTAAGATATTTACTGTGTAAACCAATAAACCTCCAAGTATAGAACTAGACGAATAGCTACATTTGAATTTATATCTAAGATATTTAATGTGTAAACCAATAAACCTCCAAGTATAGAGCTAGATGAATAGCTACATTTGAATTTATATCTAAAATATTTACTGTGTAAACCAATAAACCTCCAAGTAAACTCCAAACAGTGTCACGATGTTCCCCGTTAGATTCAGCTTGAGTAAAACAACAGGCGAATGTGGATATATGAATGATCGTCAACAGTTTAAAATATTTAAAAGACGCCACCAGAATTATTTTTTAAAATAAAACCATGATAATCATCATAATGAGTTCGAGTGATTAGCTTGATACTTTTTACTAGCAATTATTTAACGGGGATATGCTCCGGTTTTTTCCCTATTTTTTACAATTTAAAATCTAAAGCCTTTTAAATACTTTTACTATGGTTGGCACATAAAAGTAAGGACTAAACAGCAAAAAAAAGGGTTAAAAACAATTTTGGTTGTCATGGAAACCCGAAAAAACCTCCGCCATTTTGAATTTTGTGGTACTTACTTGTTAAAACGCACTGATAGCAATCAAATTTAAAACGCTTATATTTCTGTATATATTTAAACTTTTGTCGCGACAACTTTTTGAAAGAGTTACTTCTCAGAATGTTTACAAGATCAGAAAAACAAAACCCTTTTTAGCATGCACAAGTTTCAAAATTTTCATATCATTAACCATTTTTTTCTATAAAAGCCATCACAATTCCCTCGTAAAAAAGTTTTATTTTTGCTTGAAGAACTATTACTGAAAATATGGTGGCCATTGTTTAAAATATTAAAAAAAAGTAGTAGGCGTTTTAGTGTTAAAAAACTACTAACCGAGAAAAACAGCAAAATGTAACGAAAAGCAGGTCACAAAAATATCATATCTGTGTAATTTGTTAAGCCGACTGTAAGCTTTGGGTGTTTCTGGTGAGATGGAAAATACGTTTAACAAGTACATGATAAATTCAGCTTGCCAGCGATGCCAAATACAACATGATGATTGATATAAAACTTTTCGTAAAGAACTTGCAAGATTGGGAAAAAAATGGGATTATTTTCTGAATACAAAAATGGACAAAGTATCCAAAAGTGCAAAAACAAAACTATCATTACGAAAATCAGGATTTTGGTCATTTTGTAATGAGCAAATCCTCTTAACTTGCTTCCTCTCCTTGTCATACTTTTGTCATATGGGTCGAAAAGGGCGAGCAAAATTTTGGCAAATTTTAACGGACTAATTTCCCTGAAACTTGGCAGGTGGTTCAAGACCCGATGACAAGTCAAATTTGACTTAATTTAATGCTATATTTATTATTTAAAAATAGCCTTGGCTCTCAATGATCAGTACGGTGAAAAAGCGCCCCCACCCACCACCTTTTTTTTATTTTTCTGTTACACAATACGCTATAATACAATTTTTTTTTTCCTTTTAACTTTTAAGAGTTATCTACTCACCAATCCAGTACAAATCCTAGCTATTTTAATAGAGAGCAAGTGTTGAACAAACAGGTCAAGCCGACTAAAACTTTGTTACTTAATTTTAGTTGAGTGACCACGCCCCTATTTTAATGAATGTTATTTAGTGACCACGCCTCCTCTGTTAATATCTGGTAATATTCATGGCTATTCCCCCTGTATTAATATTCGAGATGACATCCCGTGTAAGACTTAAACTTTGGTAACAGATATCGGCCTGCATGGCGATCTTCACGTAGCGGTACACGTACAGAGCTGTGTAGCAAGACGTGTGTAGCGCGGCCGACACAGTGCTGTGTTGCTGATATCTTGCTCCAAGGTCGGTCCTATTGTTCTATCATCACACATCACACTAAGCTCCTGGGCTGACTGCATGATGACGTCACACGTGACCCCTGTTGTTGTGGGAGTGGACATCGGTGGAACCAACACCGATGCTGTTGTCATCAGCTACCAGGACGGCTCGCCTGTGGTTCTGGCAGAGCAGAAAGAACTGACCACAAGTGACGTCACCACTGGGGTCAAAAAGGCGATTTTAGGATGTCTGTTACAAACCAAAAGTGCTGGCAAGGTAGTCGCCCCAATGCAAGTCAACATCGGTATGTCTTTAACTTGTTGTCATTTTGTTAAGTCAACATTGGTATATCTTTAACTTGTTGTCATTTTGTTTCTCAAGTCAACATCGGTATGTCTTTAACTTGTTGTCATTTTGTTAAGTCAACATCGGTATGTCTTTAACTTGTTGTCATTTTGTTTCTTATTCCTAAAATCTTTGTGTAAAAATAAAAGAAAATTTTGTTTTCCTAAGTGAGCTCTCTTTTTTTCTATACGACACCCATCTTTTTTTTTTATACAACCTGATTGATTGATTGACTGACTTATTGGTTGACTGATGAATTGATTGATTGGTTGACTGATGGATTGATTTCATTGGTTGCTTTCAGGGACGACCCATTTTGTCAACGCAGTTGTTCAAGGCAAGGAGCTGGCCAGTGTGGCGGCCGTCCGAATTTGTGGGCCAGTTTCAGAAGAGGTGCCCCCGTTCATGGACTTCCCCTCTCGTCTGCGAGACATCATCTGTGGCGCCATCTACCTGGTTCATGGCGGCTGTCGCTTTGACGGCAAGGAACACGAGCCAATCGACGAGGTCCAGCTACGTGACGTCATCCAGGAGATCAAGGTCAAGGGCATTAAAAACATCGCCTACATCGGCGTCTTCTCACCCACACGACCAGATCAGGAGATCAGAGCAAGGGAAATAACCCAGGAGGAATATCCGGAGGCGACGGTGACGCTGACTCATGAGGTGGGTCACATCGGCCTGCTGGAGAGGGAAAATGCCGCCATACTCAACGAGTGCTTGAAACCGTTATGCAAGAAAACAGTGAGTGGGTTCAAATCCGCGCTGGAAGACATCGGCCTGAAATGTCCGTTCTATCTGACCCAGAACGACGGGACTGTGGCCAGTAGTGACGGGGTCTTGCAGCAACCCGTGCTGACCTTCGCTTCAGGGCCAACCAACAGCATGCGTGGCGCGACCTTCTTGTCCAGTCTCAAGGACGCCATCGTCATCGACATTGGCGGCACCACCACAGACGTCGGCATTCTGAAAGACGGCTTTCCTAGAGAAGCAGCGAGCCATGTCAAGGTCGCCGATGTCAGGACCAACTTCCGTATGCCTGACGTCATTAGCATCGGCCTGGGTGGGGGGTCGTATGTCAAAGAATACGTGACACAGGATGGGCGTGTCCGTGTGGCAGTTGGACCATTGAGTGCCGGTCTGAATCTGATGCAAGAAGCCCACGTCTTCAGCGAGCCTGCAGATCTGGCACAAAAATCTTTGACGGCCACAGACATAGCCGTGGCATCTGGCCTAGCCCGACTTGGAAGTTTCGAGAACGTCAAAGATTTGAACCCAGATTTGGTTCGACTGGCCACGGATGAAATCCACAGGCTCGTGGAGGACGCCATCGATAAAATCAAATTAAGCAAAGAAGAGCTACCGGTCATCATCGTCGGTGGAGGCAGCGTCTTGATTGACAGGACGAGGAACCTCAAGGGAACCACGCAGCTGATTGTTCCCGAACACTTCGGTGTGGCTAACGCCATTGGAGCTGCCTTGAGCAAAGTCTCCGCCATCTTCAACAATGTGGTCAACCTGATGGACTACATCGACGCCAGCCAGATAGAGAGATGCGTCCACGAAGAAGTTGCTAAAGTCAACAACGACCCTGACGGCAAGGAAACGGAGCGGGTTCGAAACGAAGCCAGAAAACCATTCTTTACCAAGGCGAGAGACGAAGCCATGGACAAAATCTGCGCCAGTCTGAAGGAGACTGTTATCGGACAAGGCGCTGACCAGAAGACGTTAGAGATTCTAGAAAAACAGGATTCTGTCATAGCTTACACCCCAGGCAACGCCACTCAAATGAAAGTGAAAGTTGTTGGAGATTTGACCACCTGGTCAGCTGACCATCTGACAGAGTGGGAGGAGCCACCCCACTCCCAGGAACTCACCCAGCAGCAGACGCTGGTCGGGCAGAAGCAGACGTTTTCTGCCACGGGAAAAAGAATTGCAGGAAATGAAGAAGATGACGTCACGGACTGGAGCAAGACACCAAAAGAGCCTAACGTCGACCACGTGACCGGCGAGTGGACCTTGTCCGAGTGGGACATTGAGTGTATCGTGGTGGGCTCTGGGATCTACGGCTGTGGAGGGGGAGGCAACCCACATCTGGGGCGGCTCAGGGCCATTAAGTGTATTCAAGATGGCGGCAAAATGAGAGTTGTCACCCCTGAACGCTTACTGAAAGATGCAGACCCTGTCAGAGATATTGTAATTTCTGCGGGTTTTATTGGGGCGCCACTGATCATGTTCGAGCAGGGCGTATCGTCTTTTGAAACACAGGCGGCGATGGAATGTCTTCACGATTTGTATGAGATTGGCGGGTTTAAAGATGGCGAGTTGCAGAACTTGGGCGGGGTTGACATTGAGACAAGTCCCGCGGGGGTAAAGTTCATCAAAAACTATCGCCCGACTGGCGAAAGGTCGAACGGGTACAGACTTATTGCCACAATGGCTGACGAGATAGGAGGGATGAACGCTATCGAGCCGTTCCTTGTCGCCGCTAGGTCCAATATCCCAGTCTTAGACTGTGACGGCATGAGCCGAGCTTTCCCCGAGGTCCAGATGTACATACCCTACATGTTTGGTGAATATCCGTACCCTGCCGCCATTGTTGGCAGCGGAAACCACAGAGAGAGGACGGCGCTTCTGTTTGCCCCAGGGGGGAAACTTCTAGAGAACTTTTTGCGTGACGCGTCCATAGAGAACGGTTGTTCCGCGGGGATGTCGGTGTCCCTCCACAAAAGTTGTGTCCTGGAGAAAACCGCCCACCACACGGTGAGCAGCGCCTGGAGGCTGGGGGACCGCATCCTGAGGGCCAGGCTAAACAAGGAGTCGGTGATTGACGCCATCGCACAGCAGGAGGACGCCCTACACGTCATGACTGGGAAAATCTTGGACGTCCAGAGGGAGACAAGCGGCGGCTTCAACAAAGGTTTTCTCGTGGTGGAGGGCGTGGAGCGGTGGCTGGGCCGAGAGCTGCTGATTGAGTTCCAGAACGAGAACCTGGTCATCATACCGCTGGTCCAGGGGCGGCGGGGCGAGTGTGTGGGCTCAGTGCCAGACCTCATCTGTGTGGTGGACGCCGACAACGCGGAACCCATCACAACTGAGGAGGTCAAGTACGGACAGAGGGTTGCCGTTCTTCTGTTGCCGTCACATGATTTGCTGCGGCGTCCGGAAGCTTTGAAATGGGTCGGTCCGCAGGCCTTCCATTACGGCGATGACGTCACGTTCAAGCCCTTCAGACAAAGGCGAGTCACTACGCCTGTTGCTCCTATTTAACTGCGTCAGTACCTCCTAAAGAGGTCAGCATCCATTATGACTGGATTCTTGTGGATTCTATTGTTAAATTAAACAGGAGCAATAACCGTGTTACAGCTGCCATTTTTATTACTTAATTGTTATCTCCCGTTAGCTTACTTTGCTCCAAAAACCAATGTCTGCGATGTTTTACATTTCAAAACTGTTCACAACATTTGGATATCAGGAGGGTTGACAATGGTCAACTACAGGCAGGTGGACAATGGTCAACTATGGGTGGGTGGACAACGGTCAACTATGGGTGGATGGACAATGGTCAACTATGGGTGGGTGGACAATGGTCAACTACAGGCGGGTGGACAATGGTCAACTACAGACGGGTGGACAATGGTCAACTACAGGCGGGTGGACAATGGTCAACTATGGGTGGGTGGACAATGGTCAACTATGGGTGGGTGGACAATGGTCAACTATGGGTGGGTGGACAATGGTCAACTATGGGTGGGTGGACAATGGTCAACTATGGGTGGGTGGACAATGGTCAACTATGGGTGGGTGGACAATGGTCAACTATGGGTGGGTGGACAATGGTCAACTATGGGTGGGTGGACAATGGTCAACTATGGGTGGGTGGACAATGGTCAACTATGGGTGGGTGGACAATGGTCAACTATGGGTGGGTGGACAATGGTCAACTATGGGTGGGTGGACAATGGAAAAGCTAGAAAGCGGTTTGTGCCGGTCACTGCTTCTTAAGGGTATTTGTTTTACAATATCACATTCAAGGTAGAAAACAATTGAATCAGTATTAACGGCTTGAAGCCGTAACATTTCGTAACTTTACCTGTATATAATTTAAAACTGCAGCTTGAAATTAGCTTTTAATAGGTGTTTTTTCCAACCCTTTTGGCGCCCCACAGCCCCCTAGCCTCTGTTCACACTAGAGGTAAACTCGTTGTCAGAATCTCCAGGCAAATTATGAAGAAATTGTCCTCTAGGTCTACACAACAAGGACCATTATTCGACCACACAGGCGACACAAGTAAAGGGACGACGATACAGACAAATAGTAGCTTCCTTAAATGGGTATAGTGTAAACATGGTGAGGGGTGGAAGCAGGCGTTGTAACTGAAATAGCAATATAAACAGAAAGTGATATTTTAACGCCAAGGGTAGACAAAGGTACAGAATATAGTCCAACCGGATCCGAACCTACCATTCCACACGGCACCAAATCGCCTCGCCCTCCATGCATCAAGTCAGACGTATAACCACATCTGCCAATCAGTTCTA